CGTATGTCCGTCCGCATCGATAACAACAGATCTGTTAGATTTTCGTATAGATTGTAACAAATTTGTTCGATTTCTACTCGATATTCGGACTATCGAACAAGATCCACCACCAAATCGAAAAAAAACTAGGCAGCTGACGATTGATAATTCAAATAATTCAATCTGGTCTCAAAAATGCCCGAAACAGATTTGTGTGTCACACAATGTGTAAAGAAGAACATTCGTAGGGGGCACTTCTAGGGGATTGGACGGAAAATGTGTTAGCCAGTCGTCCATTTCTGAGACTAGCCAGTGAAAAATTTGTCGAGATCAATTGGAAAAACTGGTAGAAGAGAAAAAAAGCAGACTCTGCTTCATCAGTAAGTAAGTAAACATAAAACAAACAATTAAAATAAAAATCTATACATTTAAAATGTATATGCAAATCAATAAGTATATATTGCAAATGTATGCACAACGCTTGCCTAATGCGTTCAGCACTTTCGCTTGCATTTCCAATACAAGTTTCTTGATCAGTTTGTCCCTCTACTCTCTTATTGCACACTTTTGCTCTGGATAGGGATATAGTGCGGTATTCCGCAGAGGATCCCAAGGCGTTCAGGGCAATCCCTGAATTTTGAAGCTTCTCGAAGGTTGCTGACATCCCAGCAAAGTCCACGAGCTTCATCTTTATGTTGCTCCATTGCTGATATTATCAGGTTTTCGTCGTTGTTAATTTTCGTAATATTTTTTGTTTAAAATAATTTTAAACAAGCTGTCAAAAACTAACGCATGTTTTGTAGTACAAACATGCGCCTTGCGTTATTGCGTTAATTTCAATTTTAATTGGAAACTCAGGTCGGTGTAAATGTACTATAAAGCTGTACGAAGAGCGACGGAAAAGAAACAAAGAATAACGGGAATAATCGATCATAAACAATATAAAATTTTTTTTACAAGACCCATTTGGATGTCACTTAATTAAGTTTGTTTACAAAAAACAGCTGGAAATACGTGTCATTGTGACCCTTTTCATGTCGTCTCCTTAATTTCTGTGGCTCCCGAGCAGAATATACAGATATACATATAATATATAAAGAATTAACGAAACATTTCCAAGTCAAAGTCGTATTTACTTCTTCTTTATTTTCTTCATTATTAATTATGAGAATTTAATTTCATACACTTTTTGTTGCCAAAGAAAAGTCTTACTTGCATTCTAAGATATATAACATTTGCATTACTTATTTGCTCGCCAAGAATAAATTTGTATCTCTTTTTTTTTCAATTACATAGTATTTCAGGGAAAGTACTAACATTTCTACATACATTCAAGAATCAAATTTGGCCAACAAATTTTAAAATTTCCAGTCAATTGTTGAACATTTTTTAAGAGATATTTTTTATGGACCATACCTAAATTATTTGTGTTTTTGTGACCTCTCTCTTAAATCGCATTTTCTGCTCAATCAATCAATCATTTAGGCCACTTCGAACACGTTTATGCGGCGAACAGTAAGTGCTATTGGCTGAGCTATTTGCGCTTCCTATAGCAGGCTTATCCTGTGCACGTTTTAGGCTAGGCGGGTTGGTTGACGTGGGAAGTTTTGTAGTAGTTGGATCTGCAAGTAATTATTACAATTATTATTCAAAAGATCATTCCGAGTAAAATATAAAAAAATAATAAAATAAAATACATTTTAGGCAGTTTTTTTATTTGTAAGGTTTTTAACTATTGCAGGGTATTCCTTTATTAATCAGAAGTTTGCAACGCACTAAAGAAGTCAACATCAACAGCCGAGTCAAACTGGCCATGTCCGTCAGTCCCTATACTTAGAAATATTTGGAAACATATCGATATAAATTTAAAAGAAGGGCCAAATAAAGATTTTTACAAATTTAAAAAAAATTATGTCGAGGGGCAACAACAGTAGTTTAAGATGCTATATAGGTAGCAACGGGCCAGATCTGACCTCAATATTTCTGCCATTGTATTTGCAGAAATTACCATTTTATAGAAATTTGTAAGATTGGTATAAGTTTTTTATATTATTATGATATAGGGCAGGCATTTCCCATTTCGTGGACCATGTTGGATGCCATTGGTTTCTGGATGCCAACTTTATCCGTGACTGGGTTCACAAGTGAAGTCCATGGAGTGCACCACTAATACTTCTTATTCTTTTCAGAACCGGACACCGATCGACCATAGTCAATAGAATTCCAAATTCCTCCAAAAACAAAGTAAGAGCTCATCATTTGCCTTCCCAAAATGGACAGAACTAGTGAAATGAGCGGTCACACTTCTAAACAGTTTTATCCTCTCCATACATAGATTTAATCTATAAACCGTAGAAAATATGGTGCCACTCTTTTTTCCTTAATTTTTCACAGCAGTGCCACCAGGAAAAGCTGACTAAAATTAACATTGTTCTGTCGCTAATTTTATTGTGAAATGCTTTAAATTTTTTTTTGTTTTCAAGGAAATTCAAAATTTGAAATTAATAAATACTCAATATTTATATACCATATACAATATTATATATATAATAGAAAATAGACTCACCCTGCAGCCATCTAACTTGCGTTGCTGGCCCATAGCCCTTTTGATTGCGTGCCGCTATCCTGAAGATAATTGCTGGCTTGTTAGAGCAATCTACATGAGCGTTGGAGAGCGAGGCATTGGGAACGGTACACTGATTGGCCGCACCTACATAAACCCGAACAAATGCCAGTTGAGGTGTGGCTGCCAATGTTTTATTATCCTTGGTCGTGGGTTTGACAGCAAGATATACTGAATATTCAACAATCTCCTTGGTCTTTTGTGCCGGCGGTGGTTCCCATGTCAGGTGGGCGCCCTCTTTTACATCTTTGGAAATCTTGATGGCTGAAGGAGCACCGGGAAAACCAGGCAGGCAGGTCTTAAAGCTAGATATCTGAGTAGAAATTTGATAAATACTTGAAACATTTAGCAAGAAACTTTTCATAGTTATAAGTAATGTTTTAGTTTACTATATACATAGATTGTAAGAAAAAAAAAAAAAGAAAGTTTAATAGGCTATAAGATGCCTGGTACTCAAACCATTTCGGGTATCACACCAGATAATAGAAAATGAATTGTTGTTGTTTAAGAAAGTGCTTAGAGATGAGGACAAAAACTACAAATTATATGTTGTGTAAATTATTAAACAAACCTCTCCCCACTCGCCACGCCCACAAGTGTTGATGGCTGCAAGTCGAAACCGATACGCTGTTCCAGGATCCAAATTAATACGAGGATATTTACTAAAATCAGCCAGATTATCGATATCAACAACATCGTCCAGAACGGAATCATTGAAGGAATTGGAGTCTAAGTAGCTGGTAACGGTGTGAGTGAGATCCTTGAATATGCCAACGGTGTGCCATTTTTGCACATCCAGTTGGGGGCTCGCGATAACTGCATTTGATTGTATCTGGAAAAAAAATTTAAAAATGTAGGGATAGCAAATTAAAAATGTTCAGGGTAAGAGTGTTTAATATTAACAGAGACGGACGAGGAGGAGCTGCTAATGCCTAGTCAGAGCTTAGCATCTTAACCGACATCGGATATAGACGAAGATGAGCTGTTGCTGCCAAGACCGGTCATTAACGCTCCGTCAAAACCCGGGGCGCTAGCACCAGCACACCCCAAATCAAAGCGCACAGGTGTGGCTCAGTTGGACACTATCGCAGTAAACATCAACAGAAGCAAAGACGATCCGATGTCACATCAAAAATGGCGTTTTAGCACAAAATCAAGAATGACATGAGAAAGACCAAGATCAAGGCCTTTCTAGCCGAACTGACGAATTACTAGAGGGGAGGTAGACGACACGAACAAATTGTTGGATGCTAATTTGACGATCCCTCTAAAAACGACGAGCAAGTCTCTAGTCTGATACTACCTGGATACACCCTACCCACCCACTAATTCGACGGGTACGACGAGGACTTGTGTAGTAATAAAGAATTATTTCAACACTTTTCTCTAATATAATCTCAATACACCAGATCTAGCAGTTGCGGATGGGACAGGAGTGCCGGTAATCAAGATGCAGCAATGGGCCGAAGACGCAAAGACGACCCTGGTGTTTGGGTGTGACGCAAATGCGAGGCACACGCTCTGGTGAAGCTCGGAAACAAATGATAGAGGGGAGTTAATTTTGAATAATATCATATGCCGTAACGTTACATTATGTAATAAAGGGAACGTATCCACCATTGTATTTCCAAGCTCAAGAGTGGGTGGATGTATTAGCTCTCACCTTACTCGTAGAAGACAGTCAGTATAAAATCGAGAATTTGAATGTGTCGTAGCAACATTCCTTTTCAGACCATAGGTTAATTTTCTTCGAGATATCGGTATCGGTGTACAAAAACCCAGCCAAGACTCCAGATAGACTCCTTTGACTTATATAAAAGCCCAGGCCTTGACGTCATTATTCCAGGTTTCAAGCAGCAAAGGAAAGTACCAGCAGAAAGCTCAAGGCCATCTATGAAGCATACATCCTCCCGTGGAGAAAAGCAAATGTAAAATGTATAACAAAGCCTAGCAGGACGAGACATATCCTTCCAAAGAACCATAGACCAATTAGTCTAACTTCTAACAGCACTGCTCTAGGTTGCAAACACAAACAAACTGACCACAATGCATTTAATAACGTGAACGTCGAATCCATACTGGGCTCTCTACTCGATAGGTATTGAGAAAGGCATCAGATAGTGGATAGGTGCTGTGCTCAAGTATGACGATCATAGCCGAACTGGGTTGCACTCACTTCAGGCGAGTAGTGAATACTGAAGAGAAAACGTCAGAATACAGCAGAGACAACAGCAGATCAGCAGCAGAGACGACAGCAGAGCAACAAGCGAAGAGAGCTACGCGTCCCTGCTGTGGGAGACGCCATTAATACCATTGCTGCCCGACACCGAGCCAGGCTGACTGGACATCCCAACCCGCTGGCCAGAGCGCTGCCTACTACGAGAGGAAGACGTCGACTGAAGAGGACCACTATCCGGGAGCTGCCAACCCGGCAAATAAACTGATTTAAATTGTATTGTTATTGTTCCTTTATCTCTACTACATGTTAATTGTTATTTGATACTAGTAGAATTGTTATTGTTGCAGCCAAGACTAAAGAAACCAATAAAACTTTTCAAAAAAAAAAAAAAAAAAAAAAAAAAAGAGCAACAAGCGAGACAGAAAAGCAGTAGGCGAGTCGGGGAATGACAATCAGCAGAGGGAGACGACAGAAAGGAAGAAAAACGAAAGCTGTGAAAGGAAAAGCAGAAAACCCGGAAACAAACTTTCAAATTCAGAATAAACATAATAATTTACTATAATAAAACAAGAAAGGAAGCTAACTTCGGCACACCGAAGTTTTTATACCCTTGCAGTTGAAAACACACAGAAAACAGAGTTTCATTACATTTTACCTATACTTATTATGTTTACAGTTTGACAGTTACAGTTACATTCCCAGCTTTACATTTTCTCTACATCTACCGAACGCTTTTATGGCAGCTATATATATAGTTGTCCGATTTTTATGAAATTTATACCAAATTTCTAAAATAATAAAAAAAAGCTCATATTTCAGAGTAGATGAAAATACGTTGAAAAGCACCGAAGTTAAAATTTGTTTTCCTATTAATTTCCTGATCGTTCCTATGGCAGCTATAAGATATAGTTGTCCGATTTTCATACAATTTTTACCGAAATTCTGGAATAATCAGGCCTGCTCCGGTAATCGAAAACGAAAGATTTTTTCGATTTGAAAAACGGGCACCTTTTTCTGGCCGGAATGAAAAGTAAATGGCTTTTTTTATATGAAATCAGATCTTATTTACAAAAGGAAAAAATAGTTTACTCAGTGGTCTATTGATGTTTATTCCACACCACCACAAGATCATTCTGGCACGTAGTTATTTTTAAAAAAAGTTATTTCTGACCCCACCTCAGATTTCACAACAAAATTTTTGCCGTGTTCAACCAGTTTTCTCGTTTTGGCGATAGGTCGATAGGTTCACCGCAAAAAGTTATCGCCAAGGTTGCCATATTGTTGGTGGAACGAAACAGCCAGTTAAAAATACTTATAAAATATAAATGAATACATTACTAACTTTAAAGGACCGCCAAAATGGTTGTTTATAATTAATGATATTTAATGTGATTACTTAAATGGTCCAAATTAACCAAATAATTATTTGAGACCACCGGAATTAAAACTGTGAAAAGTGTGGCAGCATCTTAGGTGCCTAGATTTGCTTAACTCTACCATTTTTTTCCTTTTTCTGGCTTATAAAAAGGGCAATTGTAAATATAATAGGCAGTACTTTACGTTGTTTGCTTATTACCAAAAACACAAGTTAGCTGCTTGAGCAGTGAGAAACGATGAGAAAACGAAACATTCCGATAGCAGAACTTTGCCGAAAAGCGGAGCAGCTAAAAACGAAAACGGTTCGTTTTCGCCCAAAACGAAATCGAAAAAATTTTACGATTACCGGAGCAGGCCTGAATATAGAATGGCTATATAAAACTGCCAAGTTATAATTTTTTTTTTTTTTAACTTATCGAACATTTGTATGGCAGCTATATGATATAGTCGTTTCATTCAGATAGCTTTAAAACTGAGGGACTAGTTTGCGTAGAAACGAACAGACGGGCGGACAGACGGAAGGACGGACGGACAGACGGACATGGCTAGATCGACTCGGCTGTTGATGCTGATCAAGAATATATATACTTTATAGGGTCGGAAACGTCTCCTTCACTGCGTTGCAAACTTCTGACTGAAATTATAATACCCTGCAAGGGTATAAAAAAGCTAAGTTGAATTAATCTCATCTTACATATACATATATCTAAAGTTGTTTATCAAATATAAAATTAATTTTAAAAAAATTATAAAAAAAAATTAAAAAATAAACTATGCTTTAAACTTGCCTGGTTTTGTGAATTATCAGCACTGCTCTTCTTGGGACTTCCTTCCAACAAATTTTTTACTGTTTGTCCACAATTTATCATAAGTGCTGAGGCATCAGCCGTTGCTGCCTGCATCACGGCAGCAGAAGCCAGTGCGTCCAAATGTGAGCCATCAACTAAAAATAAAAAATGTTATATACCATATTAACAGACACACATACTTTAACTACCAGTTAAAACAAGTAAGAAAGCTACAGTAGTTAGAAAATGAAAATGAACGTGGGAATTTCACTTTGCGTCATTATAAAAAATAAAACAAGAGAAGAAGCTTATTTCGGCACGCCGAAGATCGAATACCCTTGCAGTTTGCAATTTTAAATATATATACTGAAAAAAAACAAAGTAATGCCAACTTTCATTGATTAACATATTACAAATTGTATTTCAGTATTACAGTTACAGTTTTTCATTCAAAGCTTTCTCTACATCTACCGATAGTTTGTAATACAAACTTTGTATGGCAGTATATGAATATTATTGAAAAACCACGAAGTTAGTTATCATCATTTCTATGGCAGCTATATGATACTTTCGTCCGATCCGGATTGTTTCGACTTATATACTAGTGACAGTACTCAAAAGACTATCTGAAAAGTTTCATTCAAATAGCTCGAAAACAGAGGAACTGATTTGCGTAGAAACGGGCAGACGGACATGGTTAGATCGACTCGGCTGTTGATGCTGATCAAGAATATATATACTTTGTAGGGTCGGAAATGACTTCTTCACTGCGTTGCAAACTTTCGACTAAAATCCTTGCAAGGTTAAACCATTTTGTAGCCAAATTAAAGCAACTTTTTCGTTTTTCACACGGAAATTTAATACTACAAGTATACATGCTTGAAATGCGGTCCCGGTGCTACTAACACCGCATAATATGCGGTTGCGTTTGTTTACCATCGCAATATGCGATGGAAGACACTCAGAAAACAATTTGAAGTTTACATTTACTTTATTTTTACATATATGTACATATTACATACTTTACAATTGTGCATGCAGTGCACACTGGTCCCAAAGTCCAAAATTTGTGCAAGAATCCAATTTTTTTTTTTAAGAGTTGGGCGAAAACAATATTTTATTGCGATAGAGTAATATTCAGGGCAATTGAAAATAATAGAGTTTCAATTGAAATTGCATCCCTGCGATCGCTGGCAGCCCTGGAAATCAGCTAATCGTTTACCGCAAACTTTGGCATTGCTTTCTCGCGAAATTAATGCAAAGTTTGAAAACAAATTGTGTAAAATCTAATATCTCGATTGCTATAATTCAAAATGGATGATAATTGTGCAGGTATGTGAAATATTATGTAATATTGCAATATTTGTTATATGTGTAATTTCTTTATTAATATGTGTTTTTGTGATGATATGTGTTTTAACAATTCTAACCTAACTTTTGTCGTGTTCCGTGGAATAAAGGTATATAGTATTTAATCGTATTTAAGAAACTATTGATACAGATGTTATCTTTAACATATACATTTTTTGATTAAACTAATTTTTTTTGCCCGTTTTTGCCCGATTCCATGAAATATTGTTTTTTGACAGACAACATCGATTTGAGCTATGCTGAAATGGTAGAGGTTTGGCTGGCAAATGGTCGTGAAAATAAAAGTATTTATGATTTTGTGCTGCAGCATATTATTAAAACAGTAAAGGAACATATAAAGAACCCCATAGACAATAAAATAGCAAACTTTGTTGCTGCATTAAAAACACGGTTAAACAATTGTAAGCGGGATGTTTCAAGACTTAAGAAGAAGCATGAAAATTGGCTCGCATTACGTTTCAAAATCAAATTATTACCATCTGATTTTATGGAAGTGGCCCCCAAAAATGCAGGACGCCCACGACTAAACTATGATGCAGGAAGTTGCCGATTAAAGCAAAGATTAGCTGCCGATCTTTCATCTAAAAATAATAACGACGTTACTCTTCTTGCTCATGCAGCCAACTTGGCTGCAAAAAAGGCGCGATTGACCGTTGAGGAAGTATCTTCCAAAGCAGAGCCTGTACCTTTCACTCCAGAAGAAGCCTTAGACTTTTTAATTGAAAACGGCTTTACAAAAAAACAGTATATGAGCATAAGGCTGCAAAGTAAATGCTGGAATTGCGACATTTATCCGAGCTACAAAAAAATTATCGCTGCAAAAGATAAGTGCAGGCCTAAAGGAATAAATATTACGGAGTCTGTCGCTTCTGTTTCACTACAAAACATGCTTAATCACACTGTCGAACGTATATTACAATTACAAAAAGACATATTTGACGTTTATCCAAATATTTGTAATATGAAATTAATTGCCAGTTATGGATTTGACGGTTCAACTGGCCAAAGTTTGTACAAACAATATTTTGAAGATTGTATACCAGATACATTTGATGATTTGATGATGCACATGATGATGGAGATGACTTGGACACAACTGAATTTACTAATGACTATTCTTTTGATTTAGATGTAGAAAATGATTAATTTAATAAATATATGTGATAAAAAAAATAAATAAAATTAGCCGAAAACTTTCCTCATTTTCTATTTTAGTTATTTTTTCATTTTAAATATTTATTTTCTGATAAGAAACTAAAATCTAAGCCATGTAAAACTGAAAGCAATATCAATTGACAAACGGACGTATGAGTAATTTTGTTGTTTATAAGGGGAGGTAAGGAAGGCGTGGCCCGATCGCAAACAATTTTTGCACAGGCTTTTTATATCCAACAACCATTAACTGTACCAAGTTTCAAGCGTATATCTCCATTTTTCTAATTACTGCACAAATTTTGGACTTTGGGACCAGTGTGCAGTGGCAGCTTATATATGTAAAGTCTACCAAGCAATAGGTGCTGCTCATATTTGGTACCAAGAGCCCCTTGGTTGAAAGAGCCCTCCCTTAACAAAAAAAAAAAAAAATCATTTGATACCAGGTATAACAACAGTACGCAATTTTCTTCGTAATTTTCGGAAAAACCCCCAAGCACACTTATTTTAAGTCTATATTTTTATGGTAAGGATATAGTATAAAAAGGGATACAAACCATTCTGAAATGTATGTGGTATCTGATTAAACTTGGTATCTGACACATCTTGTGCCCTACTATCCTCTGCTATGATATCCTTGTTGATACCCAAAACTTCAGCAGACTTGATATTGGTTAGAATAGTGGCAGCTTCAGTTTCCGATGTTGTTGGCCGATTATTGTGATGGTCATTGGGTAATAGTGTGGACTTTATCTATATAAAAAATTATATTTTTTGAATGTTGGCATAAGTGAGTTTGCATACTTAAAATTTCTGAATATTATTATCTATAAAAAATAATATAATATAAATAATTAAAATCCTAGTTAGAAAACTGTGGTCCATATTATTTTTTTATACATTATATAAAAAATGTACTTACCGTTGATTCCACATTATTTTTTTCTTCCTGATCCGTTAACTTGGGCGTTTCTTCTACGCTTAACGCCGCTGCATCCGTCGTGCTACTCACAGCGGAAAAATCCTCATTAATAGGACCCGCTATAGGTGCAGCTATGTTAGCACTAGAAGCTGTTCCAGCTGATGTGGATGTGGCATTGTCATTGTCATCAATATTATCTTCTTTATTAGCTTCGTTTTCTTGTGAATTCAAAAGATCAACGGCACCATCCAACTGCTCTATAATATCATCCATTGGGTCGGTGTTATCTTTCTTGTCTGATTTTTCCGTAAAGCTCTCCTTGGACGCAGTCAACGATGTGGTTGGTAGGATTCTAGCATGAATTCCTTTGGTGGTTAAGGTAACTGCACGTGGACTGCTGCCAGGGCTAAAAACGAAACTTTTTCTACCACTTAAAGGCGTCGAATTGGAAGTACCAGAAACATTTGTATTTACTCCCGGTACAACCATTAATTTCGAGTTTGATATGGGATTGGTTAGATTTGAATTTGTGCTACTCATAACCGTAACAGCTTTACCGCCTATATATAGGGCTGCCTTTTGATGGATAGGTGTTCCGCCACTTACCACCTTCTGGCCCCCCGAGGCTTGAACGGAAGAAATACTTCGTAGCATTTTAACGCCACTCGTATTGGTTGATATAACAGTTCGGTGACCACCTACAGAGCTAACCTGCATAGGACTAGCCGTGGTCGACGTCGAACTAACCATACTGACTATACTTGTGCCAGTTGTCGACGTCCCAGCCGCACCCGAACCAGCAGTACTCATCAACGTTCCAGCTGGCACAGTTCGCACGTTCCCACTGCCAGTTGTTACAATTATTATCTGTTGATTGGCTAACTGTGCTCCCTGCTTGTTTGTTATGACAAAAGCGGGCTTGCCGCCCATTACATTGGGCGTAACTTTGCCCATTTGAAGGATGTTTGAATTCTTCATTATAAGTTTACCGCCACTTGTCATGGTGTGTGGCGAGACGAGTTTTAGGACGTTACCGGAGACAATAGAGGATTTTGGCTGTTGGTTTGCCGGTATGTGGGAGCCCTAAAAATGTAATATAAATTTATAAATAATAATATTAATAATAATTAACAGAAAAATTTAACAGGAATGCTTTAATAATTATTATTGTATCTATTGACCAGAGAACGCAAGGTTGGCTCCCGTTTTATAATCAGGAAAAAGTTGCAGCACGCGCTTCTTCTATTATCTCTTGCTTCAAGTGCCATATAAGACTTTGTTTTCTTAAGGCCGGTCACTTTGCGAAAAGCAGAGATCGTTAAAAAGCTCTCAACCAAATTCTGCACATTCTTGTTTGGGTATGAGCACTAACCATACAACATATAGACTGGTCATTTCATACAACGAAAATGGAACCAAAAATTTCTTAGCGACAGGCCCCAGAGCTGTTCGCGACGGGCCCGAGACTTCGTGTGCGCCCGGAGCGATCTCATTCTTATGCTCGCACACTGGTTGCGAGAGTTCAGTCGCAGAGTGGCGCATCTTCAGAAGGTTGCTCTGCGCTTGAACTCTTCTTTATATGTATGCGTGTTCATGCATTCACGTACACGGGTGCAATTGTGCGATCATTTCATTTCGGCCCAGCCAGAATATTTGGTCTTTTGCTACTTTTTGCGCTAGGTACCCTAACAAATATGGGCATATTCACTATTGGGTTAATGATAAAAATAAGAATGTTATATGTTATAATATATTTCTTACTTTTGCACCAATAAATCATTTAAAAAATTTTAAAAATAATAATAATAATAATATATTTCTTAATGTTTCAGCATACATTTCATATATGTTTACAAATTCAAATCACCCGCAGCAGTGAAATGATTTGCATATATGTATGCATTCGAATGAATAAATCCATAGGAACAGAGCATATTGCAGTCGGTGTCACTTAAAACACCGACTGCTCATATGGGGTTGAGGAATCAAATCAGCTGTTATTGTTGTTCTGCGAGCGGATGGTGCCTGCATACCCTACCGACGATTGGGTATGCAGACACCACCACCATCACCATTCATTTGTATAATATTCGAATATATATACATATATATATATATACCAGGGGTGTTAGTTGAAGTTTGCCGGTTTTACTGTTGATGCCGCTAGAAGTACTATATACATTTGTATCATTCGGCATATGTGTCATTTTTTTCTTCAATTTAATTTTCAATTTGAATAATACGTTGATCGAAAAACGGCCGGAATGGGCCCGAAAACATGGCAAAGTTATCTTGCAATATGACAGCGCCGTCTCATACCGCTAAACTGACGAAGGGCACATTGAAAGGACTTGATTGAGAAATATTATCGCACCCGCTGTACTTGTACTCTGTACTGTCCGACTATCACCTTATTGCATCGGTGGGACACTCACTGGCAGAGCAGCTCTTCGCCAATTTTGAAGAAGTCGAAAAATGGCTCGTCGAATGGTTTGCCTCGAAAGAAAAAAAGTTGTTTTGGAATGGTATCTATATTTTGGCTAAAAGATGGGCGAAATGTGTAGAAGCCAACGGTCAATACTTTGAATAACAAATTTTTCACATTCTCTTGAGAATTAAGCTTTTTCTTTATCAAAAAAAACCAAAAACTTCAACTAACACACCTGGTATATATATATATATCTTTTTTTTTTTAAAGGTAAATGGAAAAATCTTCATTTTTTATTTATTTATTTTTATTTATTTATATATGCAAATCATTTCACTGCTGCGGGTGATTTGAATTTGTAAACATATATGCAATGTATGCTGAAACCTTAAGAAATATATTATTATTATTAATTTTTTTTTTTTATGATTTATTGGTGCAAAAGTAAGAAATATATTATAACATATAACATTCTTATTTTTATCATTAACCCAATAGTGAATATGCCCATATTGTTAGGGTACCTAGCGCGAAAAGTAGCAAAAGACCAAATATTCTTGCTGGGCCGAAATGAAATGATCGCACACATGCACCCGTGTACGTGAATACATGAACACGCATACATATAAAGAAGAGTTCAAGCGCAGAGCAACCTTCTGAAGATGCGCCACTCTGCGACTGAACTCTCGCAACCAGTGTGCGAGCATAAGAATGAGAGAGCGAAAAACCCGAGCGCACACGAAGCTACGGGGCCTGTCGCTTCGGGCGCACACGAAGTCTCTGGGGCCTGTCGCTAAGAAATTTTTGGTTCCATTTTCGTTATATGAAATGACCAGTCTATATGTTGTATGGTTAGTGGTATGAGGGATCGTAACCTGCTAGATTTTGTTTGTAAATGAATATAAATATTATTATTACTCACTTGAATTTGGTTTTGCGTATTCCCAATTGAAAGACTTTGCGATGGATTACCTCCACCTTTGGCCATGTTAAAGTTAACCTTTGGCAATGTCTGCACCGTCATACCACCGCTGCTCGTCTTGACAAACTGCAGTTGAAGATTGGGTGCCAATGTAAGAGGCTTTTGGATAAAATATTGTTTGCCACCAATGGACGTGGTGGTGGTCGTTATCGGTGATGCAGCACTTGGCGCAGATGTTTTCAATATATTAATTGTGGCCGTGCTGCTGCGTAATGTTTGTGATGATGATGTGGCTGCCACACTGGGCACAATACGCAATGCATTGGCAGATGCAGCGGCAGTGGTTGCTGCTGTTACTGAGCTTAGGACAACATTCGCGCTGGGAGTTCGCATTGCCACAGGATCGGTTCTCGTTGTTGTCGTTGCCATTGGTCGAAACTTTTGCAATATATTGCTGGCAGCTGTACTTCCGCTTGTTGTAAGAGCAGCAGAAGGAGCTGTACTGCTGATAACCGATATTTGAGGCTGAAGGACAGATGTGACGCTGGCTGCATTCCCCGATTTCTTTTTCAACTGTGGGGATGTGGGCGGCGACCGTGAACTCAATCCCTCTCTTGCTTGTAGATTTATTTCGGCTTTTATGGTATTCTTGCCATCTGTGCTTAAATTGGCATCATTTCCTGCCAATAACAATGCACTCTCGGGGTTATTTTCTGGAGCAGAAGTTGCTATTGGCTCATTGGCTATCCCCGCCGCTGCTGTTATTCCCTGATTAACCAGGTTGGGCGGCTGTTTCGCACCTGGATTTATAGGCGGTTGTTCTATTTTCTGTATTTGCAAAACGTAAGCAGCCGCAAATGTGGTCGCTGTCCAGGAGAGCTCCAAGGCATGCGTGGAGGCGCGGACTAGCGCCACTTTGACGGCGTAAAGGGGCTTAGTCACCTCTAAATACCACAGGTCTTTGCAACACACCTGTAAAAAAAAACCAAGTGTAAAAAATAAAAGCTGCAATTTAAAATGAATTCATCGTGTTGGCCTTCAATTTGATTTCACTTTTTATTACCGTCTTAGAATTAGAATATATGGAGTGACGAAAGAGATTTAGCTCGCCCTTTGGTAAACTGAAATATGATTTAAGTAACATATATATCTCACCCTAACCTGGTTATTCCATGCTTTGCGATAACCATCCCGACCAGACCACACATACAGCCGACTCTGTATGCCAACAGCACAATGACCAGCACGAGCCCGCGGCACATTCTCTTCGACAGTGTCTAAGGTAACGTTGTCCCAAGTCATAGTATCTGAAAGGATATATTATTAAATATTTAATCAAGGTTAACAATTTAAAGCGAAAAGTAATTTAGTTTAAAAAAAACTTGTTCACTTTTTCGCGGCCGCATACTATTACACTTTTGGTGAAACATTCTCTTGACGAGATTTTAACTATATGCAAAGTTTCATTCAGATAGCTTTAAAACTGAGGGACTAGTTTGCGGACAGACGGACATGGCTAGATCGACTCGGCTGTTGATGCTGACCTAAAATATATATACTTTATAGGGTAGGAAAGGTCTTCTTCACTGCGCTGCAAACTTCTGACTGAAATTATAATACCCTGCAAGGGTATAGAGGTAATGTCTTGTTTTGATAAAAAAAAGTTCTAAAAAAGATGCATTATGCTTTGACTTTTGTTTTTTAACATCACTAGAAGAATGCAAGAGTAGAAATAAAATGCCCATCAGGCCTGTTCTAGTTTCCACTTCCGCAAGATTTACTCGGATTCGGATTTCCCTGACCTGTTCTAGTTTTTCGAAAAATTCTTACGGATTTCCGACTGCCACTTAGCTGGCAGATTCAGATCCGCAAAACCAGAAATTAATTCTTTTAAAATACAATGCGATTATGTAAATGGAAAATGTTATTAGTATTTTATTCCATGAGGTTATAGGAACATTATTGCATTGCATCTTAAAATCGGTTCGATTCTAACTTTCAACATTATTGCAAATCGGTCGCCCCCGAATCGGACCATTTAAAGGTTGTGAGCGTTCCAAAAAAAAAGCATATATTTAAGATTATTTTCAAATAAATTTTTTTTATGTTGTTTTACAATTAAAAGATAGGCTATTAGTATATTAAAAGTGTTTTTGTTTAAAACACCAGCACATTCAATCTACAAACTGAACTAAATGTTATGTGAAAGGAATTTTTCCTACAACCTCGGCAACTATACTCTCAATCATTTTGCCACCAGAAAAGCTGATTGCAATTACAAATATTTCAAAATGTTTATTGGCCGTAAATTCTTATTCCTTCGATTTTATTAATTTAATTAGTTTTTTAATTTATTAATTTAATCTATGAGTTAAAGACTACAGCGGGCCATAATTTGATCAGCCCCTTATTACCAAATCTTAGACAAAGCAAACTTTTTGTTGAGAGCGGCCACCTGAAATTATTTGGAAATTTAAGTGAAATTTAACAAAATTTCTTTAAATCACCAAGGGAAATTCGCAAATGTTATAGAATTTATTTCCGAGTGGAAACTAGAATAGGCCTGTATATATATTTTTTAATTTACCTAAAAATTAAACAACATAAAAAGTACGGTAAATAAAATATAGCGAAAGGGATTAAAAGAAAATTTAAAAAAAGAACGCTGAATATTTTTAGGCTAAAACAAATACATTACTAAGATAAAAATATGCATAATACATTAAAAATTATCGCATTAAAATCTTTCATTACGTTTTGCCGAAATCAGCGGCTGAACTAAAAGTTATTTCTGTAGGGTCGGGAGCGAATGCCTTACATTTTTGTAATTATCTTGAATACGAACAATTGCCAAAATCGATCTTTTGTAAAATTAAAACAATGAGAAAACAAAGCATAAATTTGTCGAAAACCGATGCAGCTAAAACAAAATCGTACGATTTTGACCAAACGTAATCGAAAAAAATATTACGAAAACCGAAGTAGCTTAAGGGGGTCTTCTCATTCAAAAGCCGTTTTTTGGACCCTTTTTAAAAAAATTCTTATTTGAAAACGCAAAGAATAATTGAAAACTTTTTTTGTTTATTGTAATCAAAAATGTTCAAAGTAACTAAAAAAGTTGTTCTTGCCTCGATACGAGGGTTGTTCAAAGAGTAATGAGACTTCAAACTTGGTGGTCGAAAAAAAAGGTGTCGTCCTGGCGGCCACGATTCAGGGTCTCCAGAGCGTCCGAAATGAAAAATAAAAACGGAGTTTTAATCAGAATTGATGTCATTTTCGGGTGACGGAACAGATTTTTTTTTTTAATTTTTTTAAACAAAATGGGGCCATTCAAAAAAAAATTTCGATTTTGGGCTTTTTTTTTTTGTAGTTTAGTGTAAAAAAAAAATTTTTTTAAAAAATCTGTTCCGTCACCCGAGAATGGTGACAATTCTGCGTCGACTCCACTTTGTTTCATGAAAATCGGTTCAGTTGAACTGGAGATATCATGGCCGCCAGTTCGAAAAACGTGGTTTCGAGATAAACGCGTTTGAAGTTTGAAAAAAGCTCATTTTGCGAAGAACTTGCTTCACAAAAAAGGCTGTATCTTCTAAAGTATTTCGAATTTCTAAAAAAAAAAAATTTGGGGACATATACACACCATCCCAAGCTATAAATAAATGCAAAAAAAAAAATCGAAAAAAAAAGTTGCCCAATGAGAAGACCCCCTTAAATATTTAAAAATTAAATTTATTAAAGTTTAAAAAAAGTCTTTATATGACATATTGCCCGATATTTTTGTCGATAGATCATTTCGGACTTTTGATTCACATTCTAGTGCAGCTTAAAAATTGACCGTTAGGATATAATAGATCTATTTGGATACACTGAATAAGCAACAAAATAGAAGGACTAAAAAAGTTGTTCCCGAAATCTAGAAAACTGAGAAACTAGTTTGTGTAAAAGAGGAGGAAAGAGAGGTCGATCAATTCGATTAACCACTTGATCCTTAAAAAAATATAATAATAAAATTAATAAATAGCATTTCTTACCCAAATCTAGAACAGCCAAAGTGTTTGTACACTTCCATTCTCGCTCTGTCGTTGACTTGGATTCATTTATCACCAATGGAACCCAGCCTCCAAACACATACATTTTGTTTGCAATCATTGTTGAGCTATGCAGAGAACGTGGTAATGGTGCTTGTCCCAGAGTTCGCGGCTTTGCCCAAGTCATGGACTCTAGAAAATAAGGAATATTAATTTTTTTTGGAACGCTAGGACTGTTTTTAAAAGACTCACCTGTTTCCAATAACCACAAATCTCCCAAACGGCAGCCGCTCATACCGCCATAAATCAATAGATTCAAGTTACCGTTCGCTTTGCTTGTAAAGGCTATACCAGTGTGTGACTCCCTGGGTGGGGGACTATCGCCAAAGGTTTTTGGAACTATCCACTTTCCATTGTGACTGTGAACGCCACGGGTGTCTAGTATATACAGATCGTTCAGGTATCTATTAAAAACACAAAAAAAAAAACACAAAAAAAAAACACAAAAAACATATACATAAATATATATACATATACCATTGAATTGTAAATTCCTAACTAATGACTAACTTGGGTATATTATTTTTTGGATCATCCGATTCATTTGCCAATCCACCAAATAGAAATATCTTGTCGCCAACCATGGTAAAACTGTGGCCCAAACGTGGACATGGCGACATGCCACCACCATCGGGAGACTCAGGATACATTTTTCGCCATTCCCACTTCGTGGCCTGCAGCTCGTACAAATCGTTTGAATATTTTCCATATTCAATCATTCCGCCAAAGACAAACATGCGAGTTCCTTCTACAACAAAGCCATAGGCTGCACACCCGTTGGGTACATCTCCTTTCAACACTGGCACGTACCACTGATTGGTAACTATAATTAGGAAAAAAAAAGAAAAGATTATAGGTAAGTTTGTCGTTTTTTTTAATATTTTCCCAGAAGTGGCCACTTTGTATTATTTAAGATTTTCGGTATAAAATCGGGCTACTTCATTATATAGCTGCGATAAGAAAGATCGGAAAATAAAGAGAAACAAGAAAGGAAGCTAACTTCGGCACACCAAAGTTTTTATACCCTTGCAGATTGGTTTTGATATTTATATTATAAATTATAATGCAGAAAACACACACAAAACAGAGTTTCATTACATTTTACCTATACTTATTATGTTTACAGTTTGACTGTTACAGTTTTACATTCCAAGCTTTACATTTTCTCTACATCTACCGATCGCTTCTATGGCAGCTATATGATATAGTTGTCCGATTTTCATAAAATTTCTAACAAAATTCTGAAATAATAAAATATTATATAAATATTATATCTCAAAAATGATGCAAAAATATTGAACAACAGCCAAATTATATTTTTTTTCTAAAAATTTTTCGAACATTTGTATGGCAGCTATATGATAGTCGTCCGATCCGGCCCGTTCCGACATATATAGCAGTGAGCGTATATAGAAGACTATTTGCAAAGTTTCTTTGATAGCTTTAAAACTGAGGGACTAGTTTGCGTAGAAACAGACAGACGGACGGACAGACGGACATGGCTAGATCGACTCGGCTGTTGATGCTGATCAAGAATATGTATACTTTATAGGGTCGGAAACATCTCCATCACTGCGTTGCAAACTTCTGACTGAAATTATAATACCCTGCAAGGGTATAAAAATGTATCTACAAACTGCACAAAACGTTATGCGAGGCGTATTTTTCCTTGCAACCCTTTTTTGCAAAAGTACTTTTAAAGATTTGAAATCATCAGAAAAGCTGACTGCAATTAAAAATATTTCATAATGCCAATTCGGGGCCACGAATATTTTTCCTTCGATTTGATGCAATCAATTAGTACTATTACTATTTTTCTACTATTACTATTATTACTATTCATAGGTTGGAGACTAAATTCTATTTATTAAGAGCGGCCGTCATAAATTTTTTTGGTATTTTAAGGAAAATTTAACATAAAATACTCTAATTAACAAGGAAAATTTGCTTATGTTAAAAAGAAATCCGCAAATGTTATCAAATTCTCTTTCGAACGGAAACTGAAACAGGCGTTTCGCTGAAATCAGTGTTCAAACAGCTCGTGGCGAGAGTGACTTCTGTAATTGTCAGGTGCGAATTCTTTAATTTTATTTAAGATTTATATTTGTATACAAAGAGATAAAGATATACACATACCCGTGTTGTAAACATGCAATTCATCAACAATTCCTTCGTTGCCGCCACCAAAAACTACCATTAGCTCTTTAATGTTGATGGCGCGATGTCCATGCCGTGGACGGGGCTGTGGTCCCGTAGGATTAAGAACGCGTTTCCATCGAAATCCGGACAAAGATGATGTGCTACCAGCAGTAACGGCAGCTTCGCGATGATGAACATGTTCCTCATTATCCAGATCAATGCGAGTATTATCCTGTGTTTGGAGCATAAACTCTGTATTCAGAACAGTTTCTGGCGCTGATTTTTCAGCAACGATATCCGAACACTCCATAATTTAAGGTCCAGTTAAGTATGTTAAGGTTTTTTTATAAAATAAATATGTATTTATCAAATCAATATAGGCCAAACAGGCAGCAGCATTTAAGGACGCATTATTCGCCAGTTTAAACTGAAAATACAGAAAATTATAATAGTCATATTAAAATTTGATTCCATTTTAAAAATGTAGTAAAGTATATTAAAGGGCCTTAAAGTTTACATTACTATATTAACATCATATTAATTCATATATACATGTGTACATACATACACTATAACCGGAAACAGACAAAAAATACTATAGAGATATGTATACGTATATATGTATAAAAAATACCAATGTGAGAAACTCTCAGTGTAGTTCACTTTTTTTTCGGCCTGGCAATGCCGGGGTACAGACGCTTAACCATTTAGTGTATTTTGATCTCCCAATACAGAAAATCACGTATTTCCAATACTATTTCATAAATTGAAAACACTTACGTTTTTTAAATCAAAAAAGTTTAATATGGTTTATCAAACACAGATTTGAAAATAGATATATAAACACAATTTGCGGCCCAGAAGATACACCAAAAAGCCGTCCAAGCTATCACAAAACGAATCACGCACGTCCTAGTGATGGCTCATCGCCATTTACACGAAAATCGATAAAGCTATCGGTGTATCGATATTTTCCCCAAATATAGGCTGCTCACAGTAATAAAAGTTTAAATTATTTTTATAGTAATGGCCCAATGACACTCTCATAGGGTCTTCCAACACACCTTCAAAGCGCATCCACCGTCCGTTGATCAAACGATCCATAAGGTTATGCTGTTCCGAATTTTCTCAAATGGACCGCGGTTAGAACACATTAAAATCTAACCACGGTTTGTTTGGCGTAAGTTTTCGGTGCAACTCTGATTTCTTCTTCTTAACAGTGAAAATTTGACCAACACTACGAAAATGTAAGCAAAGTTGGCGAGGAAAAATTGAAAAATGAAATTTAAAATTTGGCTACAAATATGCCCAAAATAGTTGTTGGTGTTTTTCTGTATATTCTTGCCCCAAAATGTACCCAATTGATACTATTTAATATAAACCGCCTTCCTCTACTTTATTTTATTTGCTAGCGAATTTAGACAGCGGCCAAACTCCATATAAAAAAACGGTGTCGAAAAAGGAAGAACTTTTGCGAAAATTGAATGGCGTTTCCAGATCAAGATAGTAAACAGCTGATATCTCGCTGTATAAATAATTTATTTGATTTATTTAGACACCCCTAATGAAAGGAAACTTGAAGGAAAAAAGTGGCATTTGTTTACATTTTCGAAGTGAATGGTCAAATTGCAGAGTTGCACCGAAAAACTATCGCCTAACTATCGCCAACAAACGGTCGTTAAATTTAGATGCACTCAGATGCCTGTCCATTTGAGAAAATTCGGAACGGCAAAACCTCATGGACCGTTTGTTCAACGGACGGCGGATGCGCTTAGACGGTGTGTGGGAAGACCCTATTACAGACTAAATAATTTATAAACTATTCATTTTACTCCCACATCGGCCGCTTCAGCCATCGTTGTTAACGTTTTCTAGATCTGATCGATCAGCTGTAATCGGATTCAGATACACTTTGACTCAGCTCTGTGGGAACACGAGTTTCGAATCTGCGAAAAATCCCAACCGTTCCTCAGTGGGAAGTTGAGGGGGAAGACCCTATAGAAAGTAAGATATTTCGGAACGGCAAAAACCTTATGGGCAGTTTGTTCAATGAACGATGGATGCAGATGCAAGCTTTTCATAATTTTAAATATGTGTAGGAAAGGAAATAAACACTGTATTCTTGCAACCCGCTCTGGAAATACTAAAAGTGTGCCCTCGCCTAATCTCCTAGCGCCTTGCCATTTTCTAGTAATTTGATATCGCGTCTCGATACAGAACATTTAAAACTGCGTTCCCGAACAGCCGTTTGAAACTATTTGCCTCTCGCTCTCTCTTACTGCGTTTCAGTTTTACACTCTCCATAACGTGCATTTTCCAATTTTAAATATGCTATGTTAGTTCTACCCTGAAATAAGCTAAGCTGGCAACACTGGCAAGTACAGTATAATTCACTGTTCAGAACAGTGTTGCCAGTTTAGCTTATTGTAAGCTAGTTCTAGCATATTTGAAACTGGAAAAGCTTGTAAAATTTGCATCTAGCTTATAGCTTGAAATATAGCTTATTTTAAAATTCATCTAGCATATTCTAGCTTTAAATATATTTACGATATCAAAGGTTTGTTTTGTAAGAAAAAAAATACTTTATGGCATGAAAATACCGGAGCTTGTTCATATAATTTCGTATGATCGTGAATTAATTTCTAATTGATAGTGTCATCGAAGATCTATATGTTGTCTGAAGTGTTACCACCAATCATTTGGAGTGAGAAATGTTGCCATACGTACACCTTGCCTAAAAAATACTTTATGCTTATAGGATATATATATATTATATTTTCAATATTTCAATTTTTGAGATATGGCCAAATTATATTATTTCAGATTTTCGGTTTTAATTTTATGAAAATCGGACGACTATGTCTTATAGCTGCCATAGGAACGATCGGGAAATTAATAAAAAAAAAATATATATAACTTTGTTGTTTTTCAACGTATTTCCATCTACTCTCAGATACGAGCTTATTTAATTATTTCAGAATTTTGGCATACATTTTATGAAAATCAGACAACTATATCATATAGCTGCAATAGAAGCGATCGGTAGATGTAGAGAAAATGTTAAGCTGGGAATGTAAAACTGTAACCGTCAAACTGTAAACATAATAAGTATAAGTAAAATGTTATGAAACTTTGTTTTGTGTGTGTTTTCAGCATTTCTTTATGCTATATATAAATATACAACTTGTAAATATTTTATTTTTTTTTTTAATTATTTAACGAGAATGGCTCGATTCTTAATGATCCAATTGCAATCTGCAAGGGTATACAAACTTCGGTGTGCCGAAGTTAGCTTCCTTTCTTGTTTTTTTTTTAATATTAGCTTATTCTAGCTTAATTTTTTCAAAAAACTAGCTTATATGGGCGCTCATCACCTGGCAACACTGGTTCAGAAACTTATTTTATTTCATTTTTGGTATTCGTTTTTTGTTAAATATTTTTAAAAATAATTTGCATTATTGTTACTTATTTTGCTCATTAAAAGTGTATTATATCTTGCTAATAGGGTCTTCCCACACACCGTCAAAGCGCATTCACCGTCCGTTGAACTAACTGCCCATAAGGTTTTGCCGTTCCGAATTTTCTCAAATGGACCGCGGTTAGAACACATTAAAATCTAACCACGGTTTGTTTGGCGATAGTTAGGCGATAGTTTTTCGGTGCAACTCTGATTTCTTCTTCTTAACAGTGAAAATTTGACCATTCACTACGAAAATGTAAACAAATTTGGCGAGGAACAAATGAAATATGTAACTTAAAATATGGCGCCAAAGCTACAAACATGCCCAAAATAGTTGTTGGTGTTTTTCTGTATATTCTTGCCCCAAAGCGGGGCAAGATAAAACGCCTACTTCTACTTTAATTATAGATTTGGGAAGCCTATACCACCTATAGACACTCTTCGGGGAATTTGCTCTTTGTTAGAGAAAAATCATTAGAAAAACTAAAATTCTTTGTCATTTAATTCATTTAAATTTAGTGCGGATAAATGATGTGCTTTTTGCGGTTGTACAACAGCCAAAATAGTTGGTAAATGCTCCATTTCAAATTTGCAACTGCAAATTCGACAGTCTTTGTTTACGTTTTCATGAGCCACATCTGATCGATCAGCTGTTCGAATGCGGATGCGCTTTAACGCAGCTCTGTGGGAAAACGAGGTTCACTTTTTTTAAAAATCCCAACCGTATCTCACAAATGCGCTGTGTGGGAAGACAGTATAAAGGTATGTACATATATACAGTGGCGGACAAGAGTCTACATACGACCCCCTTTTTTGGATTTTTCCCCATCCTATAGCTTTTACAGGAAAAGTAATATTGCAGTTGTGTTTTAACTGCTATTACTATACTACAACCAAAATTTCATTCAGATTCAACAAAAACTTTTTATAAACAAAAAAACAAAAAAGGCACAATTTGGCATTATAGCCTTGTACTCTGGCGACGAAACAAACTCCATAGAAGAACTTTTTGCCCCGTCGATTTTGCGGGTACTCGACGACGAAAAGGATACCTGCGAAAATTTAATGTCGTTGCCAGATCAAGAGAGTAAGCAGCTGATATCGAGCTATAACAATAATTCATTTTATTTATTCTTACACCCCTAATGGAGGAAAAGTTGAAGGAAAAAAATAATTGTAGTGCGGCCAAGGGGAAGCTCATAATATGGGATTTAACCCACAAAGAGCATTTTAATGCCATATTTATTAACAAATTTGTTTACAAACAGCTGTCTAGTGTGACCAAAACAAAGCCTTAAACGCCAAAAAAGGTATATTTTCATGGCGTTTAATTGCTATTCCTTAATTTTTTTGGTCACACTGGTTACCGAGCAAATTATATAGCGATTCTGCCATAACACATGTTACAGCGGAATTTCGTCTTACTAGGCTTATTTGTTAACAATTATGTTCTAATATGACCTTTTACTGAAGACAATCCTTATTAGCCTTGGTAAAGGACAAATGTCGGTAGCAGCTAAAGCTTCGGAGGTTGAAAATTTGGCCCTAGTCTAGAGTGATATGCATCGTTTTTAGGAAAAGACTATCAGGCCTGCTCCGGTAATCGTAAAATTTTTTCGATTTCGTTTTGGGCGAAAACGAACCGTTTTTCGTTTTTAGCTGCTCCGGTTTTCGGCAAATTTCTGCTATCGGAGTGTTTCGTTTTCTCATCGTTTCTCACTGCTCAAGCAGCTAACTTGTGTTTTTGGTAATAAGCAAACAACGTAAAGTACTGCCTATTATATTTACAATTGCCCTTTTTATAAGCCAGAAAAAGGCAAAAAATTGTCGAGTTAAGCAAATCTAGGCACCTAAGATGCTGCCACACTTTTCACAGTTTTGATTCCGGTGGTCTCAAATAATTATTTGGTTAATTTGGACCATTTAAGTAATCACATTAAATAGCATTATTTATAAACAACCATTTTGGCGGTCCTTTAAAGTTATTAATGTATTCATTTGTATTTTATAAGTATTTTTAACTGGCTGTTTCGTTCCACCAACAATATGGCACCCTTGGCGCCAAAACGAGAAAATTGATTGAACACGGCAAAAATTTTGTTGTCAATTCTGAGGTTGGGTCAGAATTACATTTATTATAAAATAACTACCTGCCAGAATGATCTTGTGGTGGTGTGGAATAAACATCAATAGACCACTGAGTAAACAATTTTTTTCCTTTTGTAAATAAGATCTGATTTCATATAAAAAAAGCCATTTACTTTTCATTCCGGTTAGAAAAAGGTGCCCGTTTTTCAAATCGAAAAAATCTTTCGTTTTCGATTACCGGAGCACAAATTTCTCGTTTTCAAAAACGAAAACGAAAAAATCTCGCCGTTTTCGATTACCGGAGCAGGCCTGTATATTCGATCATATTTGGACATCATATCTGGACAAATTATGCCTGGTACGAACTGGATCTCCAAACAGGAAAAGCAAAGGGCGCAGCAATTATTTTCAACATCACAAAGCCAGTATTTAAATATCACGTTTGGAAAAATTTTGAGCGGAACGGCAGTACAGGCAGTTATCAAGGCCCGGGTAGCCAAAGAAATATAAGCTTTTGTTAATTATATCATAACAAGAAAGGATTCTAACTTCGGCACGCCGAAGTTTGTATACCCTTGCAGATTGGTTTTGATGTTTATATTATAGATAATAATACTGAAAACACTCACAAAACAGAGTTTCATTACATTTTACCTATACTTATTATGTTTACAGTTTGACAGTTTTGCATTCCCAGCTTTAAATTTTCTCTACATCTACCGATCGTTTCTATGGCAGCTATATGATATAGTTGTCCGATTTTTATGAAATGTATACCAAAATTCTAGAATAATAAAATAAGCTTATATCCCGGAGTAGATGAAAAAATGTTGGAAAACAACGAAGTTATAATTTTTTTCGTATTGATTTTCCGATCGTTCCTATGGCAGCTATAAGATATAGTTGTCCGATTTTCATAAAATTTTCTGGAATTCTGGAATAATATAAAATGGCCATATCCCAAAAATGATGCAAAAATTTTGAAAAACAGCCAAGTTATAATTTTTTTCTAAAAATGTATCGAACATTTGTATGCCAGCTATATGATATAGTCGTCCGATCCGGCCCGTTCCGACATATATAGCAGTGAGAGTATATAGAAGTTTCATTCAGATAGCTTTAAAACTGAGGGACTAGTTTGCGTAGAAACGGACAGACGGACATGGCTAGATCGACTCGGGTGTTGATGCTGATCAAAAATATATATACTTTATAGGGTCGGAAACGTCTCCTTTGCTGCGTTGCAAACTTCTAACTGAAATTATGCTACCCTGCAAGGGTATAAAAATGCAAAGTAAAAATCGTATGTTTACTTTTGTCAGTGCCTTTTTTTGGTTTTTGTTCATAACATGAAAAGTTTTTGTTAAATCAGAAATGTTGGTTGTAGTATAGTAATAACAGTTAAAACAAAACTGCATCATTACTTTTCCTGTAAAAGCTATAGGATAAAGAAAAAATAAAAAAAAAGGGGTCGTATGTAGACTTTTGTCCGCCCTGTACATACATACATATGTAAATCAAAAAAATTTAAAAACTGCCTGCATTTGTTTTAAGATAATAAATTGTTTGTGCTACTTATCACTCTCATGTACAGAAACGCCGCAGTGCTAACGTAATAAAGTCAAACAAAATGATAAGTAAGATAATATTCCAAACCAAACATATGTACATACATATATACTCACACGACATACATATGTATGTACTATGTACTTACTACCGTTAAAAACAAACCACATTTTCTACAAATAGCGCTGTCGCTTAGCATGACAGCCCGCAGTCTGTTTTATACTCCGCACGCAGTGGCTAGTTAGTTACCTGACCTTAACATTAAAAAAGCAAGGTGAAGTGTTTAAAATTAAGATAAATTCCGGTGCATCGCCCACATGTGCATACTAAAAAAATAAAGTCGGCAACATATTTCGATACTTCTTACGTTTCGATACATCGATATTTTTAGATATCGATTATGGAAAACAAGGCGTCGGAGAGTAGCACAGCACGAATTTAGCTTAAAATATAGTTTTCGCCTAGATTTGCAGTTTGCAATTTCGCACGGTGTTTTTATCTTGTGGTCGTCGTGTAATAATTAATATCTAATTATTGTGTATGTACATGTTTGTATGTAAGTTAAAAGAATTTTCTTCAGGCGCAAAGGATTTGCAATAAATACAAATTAGTTAATTGAAGTGATATCATGGCCGAACATACATACATACACATGTACATGTCATAATGTAACGTTTAAGCGTTTACAGTTTAGAAATTAGAAAATCGGGATCAATATAATTAGTGTGTATGTGTGGTGCTTATGTTAGAAGGTTTTTTTCCCTGTATATATATGTATGTACATACATGTATATTCTTAATCCCATTGCCGATGTGCAAATAAATATGTAATTCATATTATATACATATGTATGTAAGTTGTGACGTATGACGTAAGTTTCCTGATTTTGAGTGGACTACATACATATGTATGTATGTACATACAGACAAATAAGTTCGATATATCGGACTCAACTAAAAAAATATATGTACATATGTGTTAAACAGTTAGTTAGACAATATACATAAATAAATATAATCATAGAGATATCCAAAACCCGCTTAGGTCGGGACCTCTTTTACTCCTTGCTTTGGTGGTCCCCTAAATGATATCTTTCTTGCTAAAGGAAAGACATATATACTTATGTATGTATATCAAATAAAATTCGAGGTGCGTGTGTATATCTATTTATGGAATATTCATTATTCTGATAAAACTGTGTTCTTCATGTTCGTTCCCCTATGTGCTACAGTGGCTTACAGCTAATTTTAACCAGACCCAATCAAAAACTTTCAAAGTGTAAAATATGAACCAAAGGGATAAAAAATTAAATTAAATACATAATGCTTGTCTAAGGTTTAAAGTTAAGATTTTTTAACTTCCCGAATTTGTAATATTTTTTATAATTAAAATCGAAAGAAACGGAAAAAAATGACAGCTTATTTCAACCAGATACATACTTCAAACTATACTTAATGATGAATGACTAAAAATAATGTTTTTAGTATTTGTTATGATCACCTTTATTGTCCACAATCATTTGAAGTCCTTTTGGCACCGAATCCTCCAACTTTTAGGTGGTCTCTTTTTGTTGGATATTTTCCGTTTTCGGATGTTTTTATCCAAAATTCCCCACAAATTGTAATGACATTTATGTCGGGTGACTGTACTGGAGATCGCGTAACGTTTTTGATTGGGTCTGGTTGAAATAAGCTGTGAGCCACTGTATGTATCTCATCTGTTTTGGTTCAATTTGGTTTGTACTGCTAGTGATTTTTTGACGTCACTGTTAGATTTTATCAGATTGACGAGCCTATCAGTTGAATATATTTGACAATGCTCTGTACTAACGACGGTATTTTTGCCGCAGCGTACTTGGATCGATCCACTTCGAGCCAGATATTTATGGCGGTCCATGAAGTCATCGTTTCCCCGTATCTCTGACGAGTCTATCAAAATGCGTCACTATACAATGAGCAAATTGAACAACAATGAAATCCTGATATTATTAGCAATAGAGGAACATAAAAATACCATGATGGAGTACATGGATGTGGCGGTGATGACGCTCAGGGTCCTTCGAGGAGGTGCAAAATTTAGGGCTTATCGTAGCGTTTGGACTCTTGTAAGAAAAATTATAATTGGGATTGCCTGGGATCCTCTGCGTAAAGCCGCACTTAAGTCTCTTTGCCGTATCCAGAGCAAAAGTGTGCATGATATATTTGAGTGGATGATTATGTGCAAGAGGACAGCCTGATCAAGAAACTTCTTTATGAAATGCAAGCGAAAGTGCTGAAGGCATTAGGCAAGCGGTGGGCCTACTTTTTCAATAAATACTTATTCTACATTTTTATTTTAATTGCTTGTTTTATGGTTGTTTCTGCCTTCAAGAGAAATCAAGAAGTGTATTAAAGCAGAGTCCTCCACCATTCCCATTACCGTACCTTTTTTTTTTTTTACTTCTACCAATTTTTTTTAAGTGGTCTCACCTAGATATGCAATGTTTCGATGTTTTCAAAATAGACCATCGATGTATATCTTAACATTGGTATGAAAAAAAACATTGAAAAACATCGGAAAATAGCGCTAAAATAACATCGATGTTCGATGCATCGATGAATTTTGTAATAAAATACAAAAGGCTTAATTCTATTATTTTATTTGTGAATAAAAACTGCAAACAAGCTTTCGTATTAATTATATATGTTGTTCTTATTTTTATACCCTTGCAGGGTATTATAATTTCAGTCAGAAGTTTGCAACGCAGTGAAGGAGACCTTTCCGACCCTATAAAGTATATATATTCTTGATCAGCATCAACAGCCGAGTCGATCTAGCCATGTCCGTCTGTCCGTCTGTCCGTCCGTCTGTCCGTCTGTCCGTTTCTACGCAAACTAGTCTCTCAGTTTTAAAGCTATCTGAATGAAACTTTGCATATAGTCTTCTATATACTCTCACTGCTATATATGTCGGAACGGGCCGGATCGGACGACTATATCATATAGCTGCCATACAAATGATCGATAAATTTTTAGAAAAAAAAAATGATAACTTGGCTGTTTATCAACATTTTTGCACCATTTTTTTGATATGGCCATATTATATTATTTCAGAATTTCGGTAAAAATTTCATGAAAATCGGACGACTATATCTTATAGCTGCCATAGGAACGATCGGGAAATTAATAGAAAAAACATTATAACTTCGTTGTTTTTCAACCTATTTTTATCTACTCTGAGATATAAGCTCAATTTATTCGTTCAGAATTTTGGTATAAATTTTATGAAAATCGGACAACTATATCATATAGCTGCCATATAAACCGATCGGTAGATATAGAGAAAATTTAAAACTGGGAATGTAAAACTGTAACTCTAAACAATAAGTATAGGTAAAATTTAATGAAATAATATCTGCAAGGGTATACAAACTTCGGCGTGCCGAAGTTAGCTTCCTTTCTTGTTTAGATATAAAATGACATAATTAACAAGAAAGGAAGCTAACTTCGGCACGCCGAAGTTTGGATACCCTTGCAGATTCCAATTCGATCATTAAGAATCGAGCCATTCTGGTTATATAATTAAAGAAAAAGTTATATAATTAATTAAAAAATATAAGAAAATATATAAAAGTTGTATATTTATAAAAAGCATAAATAAAATGCTGATAACACACGCACACGAGACGTTTCCGACCCTATAAAGTATATATATTCTTGATTAGCATCAACAGCCGAGTCGATCTAGCCATGTCCGTCTGTCCGTCTGTCCGTTTCTACGCAAACTAGTCCCTCCGTTTTAAAGCTATCTAAATGAAACTTTGCATATAGTCTTCTATATGCTCTCACTGCTATATATGTCGGAACGGGCCGGATCGGACGACTATATCATATAGCTGCCATACAAATGTTCGATATATTTTTAGAAAAAAAATTATAACTTTGCTGTTGTTCAACATTTTTGCAACATTTTTTAGATAAGGCCATTTTATATTATTCAGAATATCGGTAAAAATTTTATGAAAATCGGACAACTATATGATATAGCTGCCATAGGAACGATCGAGAAATAAATAGGAAACAAATTATAGCTTCGTTGTTTTTCTTCCTTTCTTGTTTTTGAGATATTTTATATTATTCCAGAATTTTGTTAAAAATTTTGTTGTTTTTCCACGTATTTTAATCTACTTTGACACATGAGCTTCTGGTATTATTTCAGAATTTTGGTATAAATCGGACGACTATATCAGCTGCCTTAGGAACGATCGGGAAATTAATAGGAAAAAAATTATAACTTCGTTGTTTTTCAACGTATTTTCATCTACTCTGAGATATAAACTTTTTTTTATTATTTCAGAATTTTGGTATAAATAACATAAAAATCGGACAACTATATCATATAGCTGCCATAGAAGCGTTCGGTAAATATATAGAATATGTAAAGCTGGGAATGTAAAACTGTAACTGTCAAACTGTAAACGTAATAAGTATAGGTAAAATGTTATTAAACTCTGTTTAGTGTCTGTTTTCGGCATTATAATTTATAATATAAATATGAAAACCAATCTGCAAGGGTATACAAACTTCGGCGTGCCGAAGTTAGCTTCCTTTCTTGTTTACTTTTATTTTTTTCAAAACCAAATTATTGTACATATGCTATGTGTAAATATACAACTTTTATATATATGTATATTAATTTATTTTATATATTAATTTGACCAGAATGGATCGATTCTTAATGATCCAATTGCCAACTGCAAGGGTTACCTTTATTTCTTTGTTGATGTTGCACAATACGGATAATTTATTCTCGGCTCTAGGTCTTATTAACAAACACTCCTCTTAATTTATTATTTAATATATTATATTTACAGATTAGCCAATTACAACCAATGGCCACCATAGACGGAAGACCAGCGCAATATGGTATTTCCCTTAAGCAATTGCGCGAGCTCATGGAGCATCGTGGCCGAGAAGGTGTAGCAAAGATAGGAGAATTTGGTGGTATTCACGAACTATGTAAAAAGCTATACACATCACCAAATGAGGGTAGGTCCTCTTTCCATTGTATAATTTAACATTTTTTATTACATAATATTATAATCAGGTCTAAGTGGCTCGAAGGCTGACGAAGAGCACAGGCGGGAGACATTCGGTTCAAATATAATACCACCAAAGCCACCAAAAACTTTTTTGACACTTGTTTGGGAAGCCCTACAGGATGTAACCCTTATTATTTTAGAGGTTGCTGCCTTAGTATCGCTTGGCCTATCATTTTATAAGCCAGCCGATGAAGATGCGCGTAAGTTCAAGACAATAATATAATAACATTTATCCAAATATAAAATATCCGTTTAAAATATTATTGCAGCTTTACTGCAAGAGGAGGAGGAGCATCATGGTTGGATTGAAGGATTGGCCATCCTTATCTCTGTTATCGTCGTTGTGATTGTAACAGCCTTTAATGATTACTCCAAGGAGAGGCAATTCCGTGGTCTTCAAAGTCGCATCGAAGGCGAGCACAAATTTTCCGTTATTAGAGGAGGCGAAGTCTGTCAGATTTCTGTTGGTGACATCCTCGTTGGTGACATAGCTCAGATTAAATATGGAGACCTGTTGCCTGCCGACGGCTGCCTTATTCAAAGCAATGACTTAAAGGTACAAATTGGTTATATAATAAAAGTTTAATATGGGAAAGGACAATCTAAATTTTGATTCATTAAAATAATTTTTGGCGTTTCGCTAAAATCGGTGTTTAAACCGTTCGCGTCGAAAGTAAAATCTGTATTCGTCACGTGCAAATTTTTGGTTTCTTTTTAGTTTAATTTCTTGAATTCGATCAAATGTTTAAAATCAATTATAGTTCAATTATAGCTATAGGCAAGAGCTTTGTGTCAACATTTATAAAAATAACAAAGAATGTAACATCGGTTTCTTTTTTACTTATTGAATGCGTACAGATGTCAAATTCGACAGAATAGGAATGCCCATAGAGTAAAAACTTAGCAATATATTTTTCTCAACAACTTATTCATTGTTTTCTGCAGGTTGACGAATCATCCTTAACTGGCGAATCTGATCATGTTAAAAAGGGTACTGACGTTGATCCCATGGTGCTCTCCGGAACACATGTTATGGAAGGTAGCGGAAAAATGATCGTCACAGCCGTTGGTGTCAACTCTCAGGCTGGAATTATATTTACACTTCTTGGCGCGGCTGTTGATGAACAGGAAGCGGAAATTAAAAAAATGAAAAAAGGTAGGAGTATGTAACAAAAATCAAGTAGATACAAGTAAGTTTATAACAAAGGCTTCTTAAAGTAAAAAAAAATAATATTCAATGACAAATTTTATTACTAAATATTTAATAAAAATAATAATAAAACAGCAATTTTACAAAATATCTAATTCAAATAATAAAAATTTCAAATATTAAAATATTTTAGAAATATATAATAAACTGCATACTATTTATACCATATTCTTAGATAAACTTTTATCTAAGAGCCATACATTCCTCTGATCAAAGTTAAATAATTATTTATTATTCATTGTGCCTTTTTTATTGTGTTTTTGTTCTTTTTTTCATATACTCCTCCATGCATGATGTGAATTGATTGACCCATCATATACCCTACATCATCCACCCAAATCAATCAACCGATATAAATAAATACCTGGGAATCAACCTCTCAACCTCAACCACAAACTCCAACCAAATATCAAAATTTAAACAAATATCGACATAAATCTAAAATTGAACCAAACCAAATATATAAATTAAAATGAAATATTCAGAAGCTAAAAAGGCCATCAAGCAAAAGAGTCTGACAGGTGAATCTATAGCTCCATTTAATATATATTCTTATTTATAATTATTTATTACATATATTATATTTTTATAAACCTAAAAAATACATAAAAATGCAACCGTTTATATTTATACATAAATATTAATATGGTGGAATATTTATGTAACACATTCATATATCCTAAAACAGGTGAGAGTGGAAAAGGGAGTCAACCCCCACCCCAAACTCAACATCAAGCGGTTCATAGCGAAGGAACTAAGTCATCGGAATCGGAGGGCAATCATGTCCCCCAATCATCATCCTCAGCCACAGCAGCTGCGCCCGAAACTGGCCATAAAAAGGAGAAATCGGTGCTTCAGGCAAAGCTAACCAAATTGGCAATACAAATCGGTTATGCTGGATCTACAATTGCTGTACTCACAGTTATTATACTGATTATTCAATTTTGCTTCAAAACTTTTGTAATTGATGAGAAGCCGTGGAAGAATACGTATGCTAATAATCTGGTGAAGCATTTAATAATTGGTGTTACTGTATTGGTAGTGGCTGTGCCAGAAGGATTGCCTCTAGCAGTGACGCTTTCACTAGCTTACTCTGTTAAGGTAAGTTTATTTCGTTATCATATATGTATGTAGTTAAGGGGAAATATTCTGATTCGCATGATTTTGTAATATATTAATATTTTTTAATTATAGTTGGTTTTTTTTTTTTTAATATTTAATACATTTTTGTTTAGAGGGTTTAAAACATGGATCGCAAATAAGAGTTATTTATTTTAAAAAATGCGAAACAATTACTTTGGAACCTTTCCACATGGCGAATTCTTTTTTCTTATATAAATACAGGGAATAATTACACTTCAATTCCGGTCCGATTTTCATTATATTAAAACCAAATTTCGGAGATAATGATAAAAATATGTTGAAAAACAGCCAAGTTATAATTTTTTTTCTTTAATTTGTCGATCATTTCTATGGCAGCTATATGATATTATCGTCAGATTCGGCCCTTTCCGACAAATATAGCAGTGAGAGTTTTCAGAAGACTATATGCAAAGTTTCATTCATATAGCTTTAAAACTGAGGGACTAGTTACAAACTTCTGACTGAAATTATAATACCCTGCAAGGGTATAAAGATAGATTATTAATAAATATCATTTTCTGTTTTATTTTCTAGAAAATGATGAAAGATAATAACTTGGTTCGTCATCTGGATGCCTGTGAAACGATGGGCAATGCCACTGCCATATGTTCAGATAAAACTGGAACTTTAACTACAAATCGAATGACTGTCGTTCAATCGTACATTTGTGAGAAACTGTGCAAAGTATTGCCAACTTTAAACGATATACCGCAGCATGTGGGAAATTTGATAACAATGGGAATATCTGTGAACTCTGCCTACACTTCCAATATTATGGTATATATTTTAAAATATTATTTTCAATTATTTTACATTGTTATTATATATATTAATCTTGTACTTTAAAATAGGCAGGCAAAAACCCCGGCGACTTGCCCATTCAAGTTGGCAACAAAACTGAGTGTGCTCTCTTGGGTTTTGTTCAGGCACTCGGTGTTAAGTATCAATCGATTCGTGATGAGATTCCGGAGGATAAGTTCACCCGCGTTTATACTTTCAATTCAGTCCGGAAAAGCATGGGTACGGTTATCCCGCGACCCAACGGCGGTTATCGGTTATATACCAAAGGAGCATCGGAGATTATTATGAAAAAGTTTGTATTATTTTTTTAATATTATTTAAAATAGTAGTGCCCAAATACAACAGTTGTATGTTTATTTTAATATTTATATACGATGATAATAATAATAAATATTAATATAATACTACATTTTAATGCACATTGAAACAATATATGTAAAAAAAAAATTATATTATGTTATGCTTAAAATATTTTTTAATGTAAAATTATCATAAATATTATATATAAAATAATTTAATTGTTTATAATAGATGCTCTTTTATCTATGGCCACGAGGGAACCCTAGAGAAGTTCACTCGCGATATGCAGGAGCGTTTAATTCGTGAAGTGATCGAACCTATGGCATGTGATGGCTTGCGCACCATTTCGGTAGCCTATCGAGACTTTGTACCGGGCAAAGCGGCCGTAAACGAAGTTCACATCGATGGTGAACCCAATTGGGACGATGAGGAGAACATAATGACAAACCTGACTTGCCTCTGTGTGGTTGGCATTGAAGATCCAGTACGTCCCGAGGTCCCTGATGCCATCAGGAAGTGCCAAAGAGCCGGCATTACGGTGCGGATGGTGACGGGCGATAATGTAAATACGGCACGCTCGATCGCCAGTAAATGTGGTATTTTGCGTCCAAACGATGATTTCCTCGTACTCGAAGGGAAGGAATTTAATCGCCGGATAAGAGATAGCAATGGAGATGTTAGTTATTTATATTTTAATATGTGATATATAATGAATTAATATTTTTATTTAATATTCTTTATGCAGATTCAACAGCATTTGATTGATAAGGTCTGGCCCAGGTTGCGTGTCTTGGCACGTTCATCGCCCACGGACAAATATACTTTGGTGAAAGGTTAGTGCTGTACTTTATACAATTAAAATTAAAACAAAATTAGTTATCTGGAACAGTTATTGTTGCTAATATCTTCAGAAAGCGAATTTTTAGATATATATGTGGTTAAATGCCAAAAGCTGGTTACTATCAAAATCATTAAAGTTTTTTAAAAAAAAAGGGACAAAAATAAAAAAAAAATATACCCCTGCTGGGTATTATAATTTTGTTAAAAATTTTGCAACGCCGGGCGGGAGAATCGGACCACTGTATCATAGCTTCCAAAGCAACGATCGTAAAATTAAAAAAGACTTTTCGATGCCAACGCAGCTTTTATTATAAAAAATGTTTCGGCAAATGTAATAAATGTTAATATAACTCTGTTGTTGCTCCACATATATCTATACATAAATCCTGTGATATAGTTATATTATACGATATAAAAATATTGTTTAAAATTTAATGAACAACAAATTATCATTCAATTTATATGAGCCTCCAAAAAAAAGCCGAACCTTTGATATTATTACACACAAATGAGTGCATATTATTTATTTATTATTTTTTTTTTTATTAATTTGACCTTAATAAACGATTCGCAATGATCCATTTACACATTGTGTGGCTATAAAAACGCATGCTTTCCTTAATTTCCTTTCCCGTTTCTGTTTTCCCTTTTAAAATCTGGAAAACGACCACACATTAATACTTTATCACACCGTTAAAAAATATATGACATTTTTGAAATATTGGACAACAGTGACAACAAAATATTTAATTATTTACCGAGCTCTATAATTTCTTAGATTTATTCCCAAAATAATATGTATTACTTTTTATTTTTTGAACAGGAATCATTGACAGCACAGTTAGTGAAAATCGTGAAGTCGTGGCAGTAACTGGCGATGGTACAAATGATGGACCTGCACTGAAAAAAGCCGATGTTGGCTTTGCAATGGGCATCGCCGGCACCGATGTAGCCAAAGAAGCCTCCGACATCATCCTGACTGATGACAATTTCAGCAGCATTGTCAAGGCTGTTATGTGGGGTCGTAATGTGTACGATTCGATTGCAAAATTTCTGCAGTTCCAGTTAACGGTGAATGTAGTTGCTGTTATTGTTGCATTTATCGGTGCGTGCGCTGTTCAGGATTCACCACTTAAGGTATGATATATTCTTTGATAATTTTTAAAACGTTGACTTAATTTTATTTTCCAGGCGGTACAAATGTTGTGGGTTAATCTCATCATGGATACATTAGCCTCTTTGGCCCTTGCCACCGAACTACCAACACCAGATTTATTATTACGCAAGCCTTATGGTCGCACAAAGCCCTTGATTTCACGCACAATGATGAAGAATATATTGGGTCAGGCTTTGTATCAGTTGGTCGTCATATTTGGCTTGCTTTTTGTGGGTAAGTTAACTCGGAAACAAGAAAGGAAGCTTACTTCGGTAAGTCGAAATTTACATATACCCAATGGACAACGACAACGCTAAAAAATAATATGAACGTTACATCAATTCTAAAGAACATTATGCAGTATTAAGTTTTCCCTGGACCTTTAATACTGTCTTCCCACTCAGTGCATCTGTCTGGAACAGTTTGAATTTTTTGCAGATATAAAACTCGTGTTACCACAGAGCTACATCTGCAGTCGATTACAGCTGATCGATCAATAAGGTCTTGATATTTTGCATATTGAGGGGACCGTACACAATCAACCAGAGAGATATTATCAACTATTTTTGCTGTTCAGCAACATCAAAACCACAGGATTGCGTTAGATTAAGAATTAGATGACAAGGAATTGGACTCTTTAGTAATTTTTCTCTAATCAAGAGCAAATGTCCCGAAGAGTCTGCTTGGTGGTACAGACTTCCAAAACCTATACGTATAATAAAGTAGAATTGGGCGTTTTATATAAAATAGTAGCAAATGGGGTAATTTGGGGCAGAATATACAGGAAAACACCAGCGACTTTTTGGTGATCCTAGTTTATTTAAATTCTTCCTCGCCATTTTGTTTACATTTTCGTAGTGAATGGTCAAATTATCACTATTTTCAAAGAATGGAGAATGAATATGTAAGCTCTGTGGGAACACCCTATTAAGGAAATTTTCGTAATTTAGAAATATTTATGTTTTCATATCTCGAAATTATTGAAAATAATTTTAAATACGACAAAGTTATAATTTTGATTACAACTTTTCCGATCATTTCTATGACACAAAATAATAAAATACATATAATACTAATAATAATATTAATTCCAGGTGATTTAATACTCGATATTGAATCAGGACGCGGACAAGAACTGAATGCTGGCCCAACACAACACTTTACTATTATCTTTAACACATTTGTCATGATGACATTGTTCAATGAGATAAATGCCCGAAAAATTCATGGTCAGCGAAATGTTATTGAAGGACTCTTTACCAATCCCATATTTTATACGATCTGGATATTCACAATGATATCGCAGGTAAGATAAGCTTTTTTTATATAAAGTTTACTTCAATATATATAAAAATAATTGATTAAAAATTTAGAACCTAACGCTGGTATTTGATAAACAATGTTAAAGGTATATTTGCCGAATACAGGGTAGCGCGTCACTTGGCGGTAAGCTAATCTAATCGCGCCAAACGAAAAAGGGCCCAACAACGCGAAAACGAAAACTTCCCAACTGTTAATGCGAATTTCAACTAGAGAGAGGTGAGGCGGGCGACAATGATTGCAGAATTACAATACAAAATAATTAATAAATGTTGCGTCCAGGGGCGGTTCCGTAAATGTATATACATATGTCGGAAGACACATATTGCCTTGATGATTTAATTTGTCAGCCATTGTACGAGCGGAGCGAGTCTCAGTGTGTGCGTTTTCTTCCAATTTATAAATCCAACAACACTCGATTGACAACTAGCCTTGTTCATCTCGTGATCTTTGTCTCTCAACGCAACACTGAGCCACACTGACGACTTCATATACAGTGGTCCCATTCTTTTAGTTCTAAACAATTCCAAAAGGAATTCACCTAAAGCGTCCTGCCAGGACTATTCACTTGATTCCACCACTGTCAACAAATTTATCAAAGTACTTATGACTCTTTCGAGCTGACCATTGGCACGACCAGCATCCGATGCTATTAAGTGTAAGATTTTGTGAGACTTTCAGAAATCGACAAATTTACCATCCTTAAACCTTCGTTCCTGATCAGCTATCAATCGATTGGGCACCCTAAACAAAGCAATTGAGGACTTTAACGCTTCTATACAACTATCTAAATCAAGTTTGAATGTATGATTCAGATGAACATATTTTGTGTACCCATTTATCTGCACTACGATATATTATTTACGGTAATTTTTGCCGCTTAATTTGCCGGTGATATTTATGTGCAACGTTCCCCTTCATTTAGTTTTTTAATTGTACACACATTGTCTTGATTTCGCTGCTGTTCAGCTTGAATTCAATTTTCTGTGATGTTCTATTCGCTTTTTAATAACTTTGTTTTTTATTTCTTTACTCGTGCTAGGCAAAGGATTTCTTGATAGAAAATCGACATCGGCTCATGCGCTTTCCTTCACGGTAATTTATGTCAAATTAAAAAAAATTCTCACCAACGATGTACTTTGGGTGATAATTCAATTTTCGCTCTAGTCGCCCTCAAAGAGTTACAGTCGGTAAAAAGGACAAACTTTCTACCATACAGGTAATGTCAAAAATATTTAACGGCATTGACAATAGCGAGTGTTTCTAAGTCATATGATGTGTACTTTGACTCACAAGGGCTAGTAGTGTTAATACTTCAGTAAGACTACAACAAAAGCCCAATGGCACTATCATCCGTGTGCAATTCTATAGGCTGGCTTGCTTGTTAGTATTTTAACAATTTTACTTCGAATAATTTCATTTTTCCAAACAAAATTAATTCTTTCGGATGTGAGAGAATATAGGGGCTTCTTTAATTGAGAAAATCTTGACACAAACTGACAAAAGTACGAAGCTAATCCAATGAATTGTCTTAAAATGGTAATAGACCTGGGTGGAGGCAATGCACCCAGTGCTTCAATCTTACGCCAATTGGGACAGATCTCGCCAGCCTGTACTTCATAACCTAAATACTGTTCTGTGCCTTACGAGAAGGAACATTTTTCCACATTAAATATGCTTGCTGTTATCAAAATCTTGAAAACGGTCTCTAATCTCTCAAGTGCCTCTTCCTTTGTGGCTGCCACGATTATTATATCGTCCATGTAACCATAACATACAAAAATGCTAGTATACTCAAGGCGCATTCTTTAGACCAAACGCATTGCTAAAAACACGTACTGGCCTTTTGGAGTATAAGCCGTATATTAAATGGAGTCTGTATGTACTGGAACCTGATAATATCCGCAAGCCTTACCCAAACAAGCGAAGTATTTAGCTCCTCGCAATCTAGATAGCTTATTAGAAATTAACGGCAAGGGAAACCCGTCAGCCATTATGTTTCTATTTAATTCCCTCTAATCTACACAGAACTTTATAGACCCGTTCTTCTTCTTAACCAACAATGCTGGACTAGCATAAGGCGAACAGCTAGCTATTATTACTTTATGCTCAATTAAATCGTACACTTCTATTCTTAAATGTTCTCTTTCATAAGGACTGAATCGAAACAGTCGCCTTTGAACTGTTTTGGTCGGTTCACTTAAGCGAATTTTCATTTCCCCAGTGGTTACACGTGTAAGAGAAGTTTCCCGAATAAACGATCCTGAGTATTTTTTAGTAATTGTATTAATTGATTTTTCTATGTGCTAACCAATTCAGTTTCTACAGTATTAAAGTTATATTCGGAGTCAGATACGACACATGAGTTATTTGTTTTATCTTCTACCTAGGCCAAGAATCCACGCCCAATTATAATTTCATTTTTCATACATGCGCCATGAACTACGTGAAACATTATTTCCATCAGTCATTACATTACTTAAAATCTGTATTGTACTTACAAATAAACAAGAACTTCTATCTTATATGCAGCATGGATGCTTTTGGTTCTTCTACTACACAATTCTCTTCTCGCTTATGTATGCGTGATCCCGATCCAGATTCTTCTCCAGCAGGTCTCTTAGGACATTTGGTTGCGATATGCCCAGGTTCGTGACAACGATAACAAGTGATGTGTGCCTTAGTGCGCTGTGCCATTCTTTGATTCGCTCCACGATTTTCTTCAAAAGATGACTGCTTCTTCACTCTGCATTCCGCCTTTTTCCTGTCCAGGTTGACCACAGATGTGACAAGTAATTCCAAACGACTTAAATCGTTTAGGATTTGGCTCCTCGTGCGAGTAGTTGGATCAAAGACATTAGAAGTCATTAAGATGCGTAACGTCCATACATTCGTTTTGCTATAATTATTTATTTATTTCGCCAACGGTAAACCTTAACTGGCTACTTAACTAAAGCTGAGGCTTCGAACGGTGGTTGCGGAACGATATGCGTCGAATTCTTGGCGAAATAGGCACGAAGATATTGACCGTTTTCGGTACCAAACGAGATTTGACTTTTCGTAGGCCCAAATGGTCTTTCAAAATGGTTTTCACAGATCCTTCTGATATTTCGATCATATCAGTAAGGACTCTAACAGTCAACCGACGATTTTTGAACACTAATTCGTTCACTTCATTGACGTGTTGGTCATCTGATGACGTCGATGGTCGTCCGGAGCGCTCCAAGTCATCAACACGTTCCCGACCCAATTTGAAGTCTTTATACCACTTATAAACATTTTTTAGGGACATGGTAGAATCACGAAAGGCCTTCCGCAACATCCTCAACGTTTCCGCATCCGAAATTCCGCAAACAAAATTTGATGGCACTTCCCTGCTCAATTAAATCAGACATGCTAAAAATCGATAAATGCACTCTTGATCGTTTGGTAACCACAAGCGTAAATATAGTACTGATACTGACATTGACATGAAATTACCGACAGATGTCATCAACAGTCCTGCCAACTTAAGAAAAAAGAACTAGTCCTCCATTTTAAGCCCGCGAATTTTAAATTGAAAATTCACCTTACTTTTTGCCCACAGTAGTAAATTACAAAGAGCGCGTCGCGGGCAACAAGTTTTAATTTTTCAAGCACAGAGAAAAAGCGTTTGCACTTTTATTATGTATTTTATTTCTTTTAATTTGTTCCCTCTTTATGCAGGGTATTATAATTTCAGTCAGAAGTTTGCAACGCAGTGAAGGAGACGTTTCCGACCCTATAAAGTATATATATTCTTGATCAGCATCAACAGCCGAGTCGATCTACCCATGTCCGTCCCTCCGTCCGTCCGTTCGTCCGTCCGTCTGTCCGTTTCTACGCAAACTATTCCCTCAGTTTTAAAGCTTTCTGAATGAAACTTAGCATATAGTCTTCTATATACTCTCACTGCTATATATGTCGGAACGGACGGATCGGACGACTATATTATATAGCTGCCATACAAATGTTCTATACATTTTTAGAAAAAAAAATTATAACTTTGCTCTTTTTCAACATATTTAAATAATTTTTTATTGTTTCAGAATTTCGGTTTTAATTTTATGAAATTCGGACGACTATATCCTGTTGCTGCCATAGGAGCGATCAGGAAATTAATAGGAAAAACATTTTAGCTTCTTTGTTTTTCAACGTATTTGCATCTACTCTGAGATATGAGCTTTTTTATTATTTTAGAATTTTGGTATAAATTTCATAAAAATCGGACAACTATATCATATAGCTGCCATAGAAGCGATCGGTAAATGTATACAATATGTAAAACTGGGAATGTAAAACTGTAACTGCCAAACTGTAAACATAATAAGAATAAGTAAAATGTAATGAAATTCTGTTTTGTGGTGTGGTTTCAGCAATTAAATCCATAATATAAACATCAAAACCAATCTGCTAGGGTATACAAACTTCGACGTTCCGAAGTTAGCTTCCTTTCTTATTATTTATTTATTTTTGTCTATAAATAAAAAATTCGGCTTTTGGGTACTTTTGAACATAGCTTGCAAATAAGTGTTAACAGTTTTTTCCTCTACGCTCTAATCGTGCGAAAAACAGACAAAAATGTTAAATCTTCTCTCTCGCCGACGTCGTTTCTGTTTGCTTTGGTTTTCAGTCTATGCCCTGCAGTACCATTCATAAACATTTCATCAACGTTTCATCAATATCCGAAGGGGTGTTGTTAATGAATCATCGATGAATTGCCATACAAACTGTTGATGAATTTAACATGGGCATGTCCTAGGCTGTCATCAACAGCAATTCATCAACATTTCATCAACATTTCATCAACAGACCTCAAGGTCTGTTTGCTAAGTATATACATCGATGGTCTATTTTGAAAATATCGACGGGCATCGACATCGATGTTTTTTGTCGAACTTTCATCACTAGGCTGTGGCTCGTAAATACATTTTTCCCTTCTTCTTCTATATCTTATTCTTTGTGTATTTTCCTTATGCTATATGTATTTTCCTTAAGTTTAATTTTTGACTTCAAGATGTTCCTTTTCAATTGGTCAAATTTATTAACGTGTCGACATTGACTTTTTACTTTGTAGATCTATCGATTTTTTTAGCTAATGCAATACCAATGCAATAGAAGTTTCATTGAAAGTGCTGTATAGTCATCCTGCTCGCACTTAGGTAAAAATATATCGTTCCGTCGAATCTATAATTTTTTTTCCTAATTTTTTTGTATTTTTTATTTTAAAGGCTCAATATCTTAAGAATATTGTGTCCAAGTTTTACATCGATCATATGAGAATTGACGAAGTTATGCAGAGTTGAACGAAGGTCGTCTGGTGTTCAATGCATGAGAATCACAAAGTTTAAAGCGCTCTCCTGAAAAATGCCATTTTGAAAATCGGTGTACACGATAAATCAAAATTTACTGAACCAATCGGTTTTAAATTTGGAACATAACTTCTTAAGGTAATTCTACAGGTACTCACGTCGAGCTTTTTTTAATTTTTATTTTTATTATATTTTTTATTTACCTAATTAACTTAATCCACAGATGATTCTGTGGACAGTTAGGATGTACACCGCAAACCAACTTTTTTTGGAGGCGACTCAGGAGATTCCCTATAACTCCTCTACCTCTAAATATTTCTCAATACAAAATTTATAAAAAATGGTTCAAATGTTGTGCTACTAAATGGTATTTAATTCATTAACCTAACTTTAGTCGTTTCGCCACAACATTTTTTTGAAAAGTCGGAATTTTTGCACCGAATTAACCTTAAAATTATATTTAAAATTTTAGACAATACTTTATTAACGCGCAATATATTGTTTACGAGGTATCTTACATTCGACTCTACTGGACTGTAGCTTTTTTTTAAATATATTATATTTTTTTTTTTAGGTATTAATTATACAATATGGAAAAATGGCATTCTCAACTAAGGCTTTGTCGCTGGATCAATGGCTATGGTGTATATTCTTTGGCATTGGTACCCTGGTTTGGGGACAACTTATAACCTCAGTGCCTACTCGAAAATTACCTAAAATATTATCGTGAGTAAATGTTTGTTATTACGCTTAAAAAACACAATTGCTACTCGGTAAATTACGTAACTTTTTGGATATTTTAACTTAATTAATACTTAAAAATATGAAATAAGGCAAAATTCCAATCTGTAATTATAACTTGTATTTAATTGTTTATGTTAAATTAAAAATTGATATGTATTGCTTTTACTGTATATGTTAAATTAAAAAAATAGTATACTATAATTCAGTATTTTAGATTTTATGTATAATTAAACAAATATATTATGGTCTGACGCAGTCTTTCTCAAAGAATTAAACCACAACAATCTACGTTAGTGTAAATATGTATAAATAACAAACATTAAACTTTGTCGTATTATACGATTTGTCCAACTCTGGTCATTTAAGGTAATATATAGCAAAATTCTTCCCCAAGTGTAAGTATATGATAAGTATTTTAATTAATTATACAATTTTATTAATGCAAGTAAGCCAATTAATATATATATAAATTATATAAAACAAGAAAAGAAGCTAACTTCGGCACGCCGAAGTTTGTATACCCTTGCAGATATTATTTCAATTTACCTATACTTATTATGTTTAGAGTTTGACAGTTACAGTTTTACATTCCCAGTTTTACATTTTGTTTACATCTACATATATATACATCTACATATATGATATAGTTGTCTGATTTTCATAAAATTTATACCAAAATTCTAAAATAATAAAATATGCCTATATCTCAGAGTAGATGAAAATACGTTGAAAAACAACGAAGTTATAATTTTTTCTATATATTTCCCGATCGTTCGTATGGCAGCTTTATGATATAGACGTCCGATTTTAATGAAATTTAAAACGAAAATGTGAAATAACCAGGCCTGCTCCGTTAATCGTAAAATTTTTATACCCTTGCAGGGTATTATAATTTCAGTCAGAAGTTTGCAACGCAGTGAAGGAGACGTTTCCGACCCTATAAAGTATATATATTCTTGATCAGCATCAACAGCCGAGTCGATCTAGCCATGTCCGTCTGTCCGTCTGTCCACCTGTCCGTTTCTACGCAAACTAGTCCCTCAGTTTTAAAGCTATCTGAATGAAACTTTGCATATAGTCTTCTATATACTCTCACTGCTATATATGTCGGAACGGGCCGGATCGGACGACTATATCATATAGCTGCCATACAAATGTTCGATAAATTTTTAGAAAAAAAATTATAACTTGTCTGTTTTTCAAAATATTTGCATCATTTTTGGGATATGCCCATTTTATATTATTCCAGAATTTTGTTTAAAATTTTATGAAAATCGGACAACTATATCTTATAGCTGCCATAGGAACGATCGGAAAATGAACAGGAAAAAAATTATAACTTCGTTGTTTTTCAACATATTCTTATCTACTTTTGGATATGAGCTTCCTTTATTATTTCAGAATTTTGGTAAAATTTTTATGAAAATCGGACAACTATATCATACAGCTGCCATATAAACGATCGGTAAATGTAGAGAAAATAAAATGTAAAGCTGGGAATGTAAAACTGAAACTGTCAAACTGTAAACATAATAAGTATAGGTAAAATGTAATGAAACTCTGTTGTGTGAGTGTTTTCAACATTTATATCTATAATATAAACATCAAAACCAATCTGCAAGGGTATACAAACTTCGGCGTGCCGAAGTTAGCTTCCTTTCTTGTTTCGATTTCGTTTTGGGCGAAAACGAACCGTTTTTGTTTTTAGCTGCAAATTCGGCAAATTTCTGCTATCGGAATGTTTCGTTTTCTCATCGTTTCTCACTGCTCAAGCAGCTAACTTTTGTTTTTGGTAATAAGAAACAACGTAAAGTACTGCCTATTAGATTTGCAATTGTCCTTTTTCTAAGCCAGAAAAAGTTATAATTTTTTTCCAAAAATTGATTAACCATTTGTATGGCAGCTATATGATCCGGCCCGTTCCTACATACCATATATAGCAGTGAGAGTATATAAAAGACTATATGCAAAGTTTCATTCAGATAGCTTTAAAACTGAGGGGCTTGTTTGCGTAGAAACGGACATGACTAGATCGACTAGGTCTCCTTCACTGCGTTGCAAACTTCTGACTGAAATTATAATACCGTGCAAGGGTATAAAAATAAAAGGAAATATATATAAGTTGTTATTTATGCATAGCATATAAAAATTTGATTTTGATAAAAAAAAGTTTTATTTATTTATATATTTTTTTTTAACTTTATCAAAACTAAATTATTATATGCTATGTATAAATATACATTATATATTTCCTTTTATTTGTTCTATTAATTTGGCCAGAATGAATCGATTCCTAATGATCCGATTGCAAACTGCAAGGGTATATAAATTGTATGTTTGTTTAATTATATAATTTTAGTCATAAGTTTGCTAAACAGTGAAGGAGTCATTTCTACTTTATAACAGCCGAGTCGATGTATCCATGCCCTTCTGTCTGTTTCTACGCAAACAAGTCCTTCAGTTTAAAAGCTATCTGAATGAATCTTGTCAGATAGTCCTTTGACTATTCGCAAAATCGGACAACTATATCATATACAGTCCTTTCCAGCTAATTAGAAAGACGACTTTATGGCAAAAACTTGTTTGAATAATCCAATTTCAGAAGTTCGGCATTTTGTTTTACATGTAATTATGGATTCATTCAGTATTCTTTTTAATCGAGTCTAACCCCTGCACAGTTGGGTATTATTAACACATTTTAATTTTTTTAAGCTAATAAAATAACTTGATTTGACTTATTTTGCAGTTACGAGATGGGAACAGTTTTGTGTTTCTACCATTCTTTTTGAAATGTTTTTATTTTAATCATGTCGGTTTTGGAAGCTTCATGACATTATAAATAAAAGAATGCAAACATAGTTGACATAATTGGATATACAAAAAATGTTCATTCAGTTGAAAAATATCTAATTAGTTGGCATTAATTTTAGATTTTTTCAGTAGATATTAGATATATTACATTAGATATTAGATATATTATATTAGATACTAGATATTACATATTACATATTACATATTACATATTACATATTACATATTACATATTACATATTACATATTACATATTACATATTACATATTACATATTACATATTACATATTACATATTACATATTACATATTACATATTACATATTACATATTACATATTACATATTACATATTACATATTACATATTACATATTACATATTACATATTACATATTACATATTACATATTACATATTACATATTACATATTACATATTACATATTACATATTACATATTACATATTACATATTACATATTACATATTACATATTACATATTACATATTACATATTACATATTACATATTACATATTACATATTACATATTACATATTACATATTACATATTACATATTACATATTACATATTACATATTACATATTACATATTACATATTACATATTACATATTACATATTACATATTACATATTACATATTACATATTACATATTACATATTACATATTACATATTACATATTACATATTACATATTACATATTACATATTACATATTACATATTACATATTACATATTACATATTACATATTACATATTACATATTACATATTACATATTACATATTACATATTACATATTACATATTACATATTACATATTACATATTACATATTACATATTACATATTACATATTACATATTACATATTACATATTACATATTACATATTACATATTACATATTACATATTACATATTACATATTACATATTACATATTACATATTACATATTACATATTACATATTACATATTACATATTACATATTACATATTACATATTACATATTACATATTACATATTACATATTACATATTACATATTACATATTACATATTACATATTACATATTACATATTACATATTACATATTACATATTACATATTACATATTACATATTACATATTACATATTACATATTACATATTACATATTACATATTACATATTACATATTACATATTACATATTACATATTACATATTACATATTACATATTACATATTACATATTACATATTACATATTACATATTACATATTACATATTACATATTACATATTACATATTACATATTACATATTACATATTACATATTACATATTACATATTACATATTACATATTACATATTACATATTACATATTACATATTACATATTACATATTACATATTACATATTACATATTACATATTACATATTACATATTACATATTACATATTACATATTACATATTACATATTACATATTACATATTACATATTACATATTACATATTACATATTACATATTACATATTACATATTACATATTACATATTACATATTACATATTACATATTACATATTACATATTACATATTACATATTACATATTACATATTACATATTACATATTACATATTACATATTACATATTACATATTACATATTACATATTACATATTACATATTACATATTACATATTACATATTGCATATTACATATTACATATTACATATTACATATTACATATTACATATTACATATTACATATTACATATTACATATTACATATTACATATTACATATTACCATATAAAAATAAGATTTTTAAATTTTATCAAAAATAAACAGTTTTATGCTATGTATGAATATACATATATCTTTCAATTTTTCTATTCATTATTGACCAAAATGAATCGATTCTTAATGATCGAATGCAAACTGCAATTACAAACGGGCCGAAACTAGCTTTTTTTCTTGTTATAATTATTTTATTGATGTTATTATTGTCGATAAAATATATATTACAGATGGGGGCGTGGACATCCCGAGGAATATACAGATGCCATGAATTTGGGAGAGGAGCGTTTCGATTCAATTGATTCGGATAAGAAGCCGAGAGCTGGACAGATTTTATGGATTCGTGGCTTAACACGATTGCAAACTCAAGTAAGTTCCGTAGTATCGTCGTTTTATTTTGAATATCAATCAAGTAGTAAGAACCTACACAATGGGAGGATGATAACATTTTTAATGGGTTTATGGTATATACATATATATTTGCTTAAGTTTATATTTTTATTTTGGTTTAATTTATCCATTTAATTTTTAAACATTCGATCATACATTTTGACATAACTAATATATATTTTATTTATTGTTGGTAAAGAACAACAGTGCGTCTTTATATTAAATCGATTATAAATCGAGTCACAGTTTGATTAACTAGAAGCAAAAGTCAAAAACTGGTCATCGTTTTTCTGGTTTCGCATGCACCAGGTCTTCAAAAAACTGCTTTTCTTATTAATACTTTAACTTCGGTTAATATATATATTTTTGTATTATTTTGTACAATTTTATTTGTTAATTTATGAGATGCCTGTGGAAACACTGTTATTAAGATTATTTTAAATTTATTTAAAAGAGATTAGCAGCTTAGAGATTATAAATTGAAAGAGAAGAGACTATATAGATATCCGAAAAGGCATGAAAGTGTTTGAAGAAAAAATCCGTCTTAAAAATAATAATAAAAAAACCAAGGTTTTTATATATTCGGCAAAAGCCGAAGAGAGGAAACCCCTATTGGCGTCCTATGAATGTATGTAAATAAATTTGCCTGTGAACGAATTTTATATATTGGAGGTGTTATCATAATTCGGAAGTACGAATTCCTTGTTGCTCTCTTTCTTTAGATTTTCTGTAGATCGGATTATATATAAACTTAGATATAGAAACATATTTTGGTGTTAAGCTCTCTTTCTCTAATATCTACTTAGTCTATTCCTATTTTCCTCTGGCTCTCTTGACTCTCTTTCTATAATATATATCCTCTCTTTATGAGTGTATTTTTTTTGTCTGCTTATATATAAAGCATAGCATTTATTGTTTATAACCTTCCTACGTTGTTAAGCGGTTTTAAATAAATCAATTTATTAGAAAATTTAAAAATAGGAGAGGTTTATTTTTTGTTGCATTTTTTGCAAGGAGAGCTTTTGAAAAATTACAAATTAGAGCTATACCAAATCTACCATATAATGTAGGCAATACCCAAATTTCCATGCACATCCATACCTTTTACATTGTTTTCAACATTTAACAGAATAAATATGTTAGGAGAAAGCTCGTAAATAATAGTTTAGCATATTATTCGCTTCTGTCTTCAGTAAGGCGTTCTCAGTTGAGATATATTCAATTACACTTCTTTAATAATAACTCATTAAAAATGTACTCTTGGGACACAGGAAGGAAATAGAAACAGCTTTAAATTGTTTACTTTGTAAGTTGTTAATTTCATAATAAAAATTAGAATAAACTAAATATAATTAAAATAATAAAAATTTCAAATTTTTTCTATGCACACGGTTTACGTTTCATGAGGCGTTAAAATGTGTCAAAACAAGTTGTTTGTTATTTTAGGACCGAAACTTTTCGATTTCGATATGTACAAATAAATCCTTTACAGAATTATTTGCGTTTAGCCTCCGTATTTTTTCTTGTCAACCTGTATAATTAAGGGGGGATATACATGTAAACCAAAATTGTTTGGGCAAATTTTTTTTTTGGTTTAAAAAATAGTTTATTATTTAAAGAACATAGTGTGTAAGTTTCATTATCGAATTCCAACTCTAAGTGCCTCAAATCAAGTATGCACGCAAGGTTCACAAGTGTTAACGTGGGCGCATCAAAAACTTTAAACGTTTTTTTTTTCAGCTTCTAATTTTTGCATTTCTACCTATGCTCTGGACACGATTCACAAAAAACTATGTAACATATCGGAGTGAATCAAAAATTATTATGATCAGCATGAAATTATCTTCTATTTGAACCTACATGGTTGTTATAAAACTGAGTATTACTATTTTTTAAGAGGGTGGGAAGTAAAAACTGATAACCTGAAAATTGAATTTTTTCCTTCAAATCAAAATTTATTTTTTTTGTCTTGATTTCTTTTTGGTTTTTTAGGTTCAAATAGAAGATAAAGGTGTAATGAATACAAAAAATTTAGTTTACGGATTTCGGACAGGAATTACGAGCTCTATCGTGTCCATAGCACGGCAACTCAAAGCTCGAGGCGCTACGGCATATGTTCCATAAGTCCGCCATTTTGTAAAATATTGTTTATAACTAATTTTTTTTATCATCTCTGATTCTACTTTTAACTATATCCAAAGTTTCACGACGATTGCTTGACTATTTCTTATAAAAAAAAATTCACGAAAAATGGCCAAATTTTGACCGCTTACATGTATATCCCCCCTTAATCACTACACACGACAGTTATTATTATTATTATTATTATTTATTTATTTTGTATTTTAATAAAGAATACAATTCTTTATTGTAATAAATTGAGCCAGAGCGCCTAAGACCTACACTCAAAAGTTATTTGCGAGCTCTCCTCTAACATAGAATAGATTTATTGATCTCCCTAGTTTTGGTTTTTAATAACAATAATTATTAAGGTATATTTACATTGTTTTATTTTTTTATTAACACAAAACCTGGATGTTTCTAATTTTATTTATTTACTTTTTTATCTCATTCAAGATATGGTTTCGGTAAACCGAAAAGTATATACTCTTTCATATCTAAACATATAAATACCTATGACAGCTCAGAAAAAGCCAATTGAAAGTTTAAGTAAATAACAACTCGAAATAAGAATTTTCCAATGTTTAACAATGTCCAAAACCCCTGACCGAACAAAGTATAAAAAAGTTCGATGAAAAATAGAAAAAGGTTATAAGCTTTGTTTCCCTGAATATCAGAGATTTTAAAGGAACAAATTATTTGTACTATACTATCCTCAAAGGCAATTAATAAAATCGTTATTACAATACCAAAAATTAAATTATTTAAGCTTGAAAAGCCATTATAGTTTTGTTTTTATTTTAAGTATATTATTATATTTTGAAGACCATAAAATATATTATTATATCTTTAAAGACTATACAAAATTGGTTATTATCAATTTGAATAGTATTAGATTTGTAGTTTTTTTAATAACTTGGAAAAATCACAAACATTATTTTTGAATAAAAGTCATTGGAAGGGAGAGTGTATACAAAAGCTTAAGACCTTAAAAACGTACTTATTCATTAAAGCAAAGAATATAACATGCAAGAAAAAGCAAGTCCAATAAACCTTATATTTATTAATTTTATGTACTATCTCGTCCTTTTAACTATTCTAATTGCTAATGCTAAAACATTCCCGATTGATTCAACCAAAATTAAATTAATAAATGTATAACAAATATTCAAATCATAAACATATTAAATAAAAAAATAAAACAAAATATCTAAAAAAAAAAAAATAAAATGATAAAACTATAAATAAATATTTGAATTACATATTATAAAAAAAAAAACCTCCTTGCGTGCAAACCGAGCAGATTTCAGTACCGGTAAGAATTTGTGAATATTATTTTTTTAATGTATTGGCAAGCTTAGACAAGTATTTTTTTTAAATTAATATAAATAATTAGCTAACAATTACTGATTCCCCTTTACATCTATAGCTTTCATTAAAATTTCAAATTTCATTTAATTAAACTCGCACTATCGACATGGACGAAAATAAATGTGTGTGTGTTTGGTTATTGACTTTTTAATTAGCGAATTTAAAATGTTACCTTCAGATATATACTATATTTATAGAATGGGTTGCCACTAAAAATCATATAAAAGACAGTGGTGATTATATTTTATATATTTGTTTCAAATAAAATTCTGTGGCAACCCTAATGTACTGTATATATCCCAAAAGTTTTTGTTATCTTTTATTTAGTTAACATTGATTTACTAATTTCAATTATTCTCAGTTGCTACTGTGTACAAAATTGTAAATTTTATGTGTTAATGTGTTATTTCGAAAATAATATTTATAAAAACAGCCGTGTTTCTTGTTCCTATATTTCACACTTAGCACTTTATTAAATGTATGTTTAGGGAGGGGCTGATTGAGTGCTTTTTGATATAAAAAAAGGGAATAATATTTTAATAAACTAATAATAATACGATAGTTCATATGTTTAGCTAGAGATATTACATATGACAGTTGATGATTTATAAATCTACAGCAATGATTTAAGATATTCACCCTGGGTTTTTCCGGGATCGAAAGTATTAGTTTTTGGCGATAAAGGTTAAACACTAATAACTATATAAATAATGTACCTGTTTAAAGTGATGGGCGATTGATATTGAACAGGTATGTATTTGTATATTTGCTGCAGCAGACTTTAAAGATGTTCATATAAATATGAAATGTATAAAAATAGTTTTTTTTTTTGCAGTTGCAAACAGTTAAACGTTAAGGAATTATCTTAGAACACTAAAACTTTATGTTAACGCTTCATATTTCCATTTTTAATTATCAGGCAATATTCGATATAAAGAAAATGGATTAAATCAAATATACATATAGTAATATACATATATGTAATATGTATATATATAATATGTATATATATAATATGTATATATATAATATGTATAAATATATTATCAAACAAATAAAATTAAAAATTTATATATACACTCTTGCCCACAATTATACGACACCTTAAAAAATTACACTGTACACCCTCGTTGGAAAATTGGAAAACACATTACAACAAAACCAAATGAATTCAGCTTAAAATCGGATTTTCTTATCTCAGATTGAATCTCGCGCTTTTAAGCAGCGCTAAAAAAGCACAAAATCTTGATTTTTGGCTTGCCTAAAACTGTATCAAAACTATAAGACACATATCAATTTTTTCGATTAATATTTTATTCTTATAGTTGTATATAACAAGTTGTTAAATGATTTATAGAGCCACCTTCATCCTTTGCTACTCAAAAAGTCTCTTAGCCATTGAATTCACTAAATTTTTAGGTAAATATTGGTCTAATGGACATTTTTGAACCCAAATTCAACTTGTAAGCATAGCTTGCAAATATCTG